TTTTTCCGAAAATGTATTATAAGAATTTTATAAAAAAAAGAAATTTTTTCTTATAATATGAAATGATTCTTAATAAGTTGTTTTGCAAAAAAAAAAGTGTTCATGTATAAAAATCATAGGTTCTCCATTTTGTCCGGTCTTTATTCCTTCTTTGGACTGTTTATCATAGTTTTGCTTAGTGCCGTTATATTTTCTACTTTATCACGCGTTTTCTGTTTATTAAAGTGATGCCACCTATATGCACTTGTGTTATATTATGAAGAATGTGTTATACGAAGTAGAGTTTTGTACTAATATAATTGTTACTTAAAAATTATAAGCACATGTGAACTGTGTGTAACTAAAAAACAAAAGCAAATGATTTTTTAGTATATAAAATAGTATGGAATTAAATTTATTAAAACACGTGTAATTATGTAAAGCCTTAAGCATGCTCTATATATATATATAAACAAGCTATATAATTGTCACTCATTGCTAAATTCTTTATGTTGAAAAAAATTACACTTCATTATATCAGTAAAATATATATTTTAAATGTTATAACAATTATTTGTTTTCGAACATATCAAAAGCGAGTTAGTGCGATAATACACATTTAAATTATAGGCTGGCTACACTGTCAGTGATATTTGAATTTCTAATTAGAAGTCTTTTATTGTATATGAGAAAATGAGATAACTATATATTTGCAACACGAAAGCCGAACATAATAAAAGAATAGGCTAAAAGCCGAAGCGATAAAATTTTATAAATCAATTTTTGTGTATGCAATTCAACATTTTTCGCTTCAAATAAGGTATAAATTGAATATAAATAAATTTAATTTCAATTGAAGTTTATGAAAATGTGTTGATACAAAGTTTTAAATGTTTAAATATGAAAAGAGTGTAGAGAAAAATCAAAAACTAAGTTTTTAATTTTGCAAAGTAAATGCAAAAATTTAAAATGATGTCTGCGGTGGTCTACAAAATGTGATACTTGTTATTTAAAATAAAACTATATATTAAAATAATAGTAATAGTTTCTTAAAAGTGCAATTAGTGAAAATTTAATTTTTATGATGTATTTACTCATTTTATACAGTGACCCGATTTAATATACATATATATATATATATATTTGTGGGGCATTTAGGCTCTGCAAGAGGTTCTTTTATCGGTCGTATTTTCATGTGCTTAATCACTCCAATCTGTAATTTTTCTTCTTGGTGTACTTTGTGCAAACGTTCAATGAACTCAATTTATTTTTTTTGTTATGAACAAATTAATTATTATAACTAATAGCATCTGTAAATATCAAAAATTTTAATATAATGCATTTTATAGTTATCTTATTGCATACTCGTGTCCTATCGCCCAGCCTAAGTGCGCATTTGCAACAATGCATTTAAATAAACTATAATCCTAGATAGAATTTTGTTTTTTGGTTTGATTTCAAAAAAGCAAATTATTATTTTCTTTTAGAAATCAAAAATTCTTTAAAGTTTCTAAATATCGGAAGCTTGTAAGGATATATTTTATACTGGTATAATCTGGTGTCATTTTATAATTTTTATATTATTATATATATTTATTTCAGTTAATTTGTATATATAGTGTATATAGATATGAGCACACAAACTCGAACCAGCGGCGGAGGTCGCAATCAAAAGAAGTCAAATACCGTCACTGGTGGTGGCGGCGGCGGCGGAAGTGATCCCACTGGTCAAACAGTAACCAAAAAGACAGATGTTGTTAAAACAGAAAAAGAAAAGGGCCACATTAAGGTATGACTTAAAATTACATAGTTCACATGAGGATACTCAACATTTTTTCATTTTTATTTATAGCCAACTGCTGAACAATTAAGGATTGCCCAGATAACAAACAGCAATACAAATGAGGACCCGCAGATGCGTGAAAAAGTTGCTACGTTGATAGAGATGACGCAACGGTCCGAGGAAGAAGTATGCTGTGCTTTGTATGAATGCGATAACAATTTAGAAAAGGCAGTTGTGTTCTTGTTGGAAACCTTACCAGTGGTAAGCTATTAAATATTATATCTATGGTACGATTTCACTCCTAATATATATAATATGTTGTTTAGGGCGCATTTGAAACTTCATCAAAGAAGAAAAAAAATAAGGCTGCAAATGCTGCGCAGGAAGGTGAAGGTGAATGGAATGACTCAAATGCTAACACGGATAAACGTGAAAAATCGCGTAACCGTTCTAGTAATCGTGGTGGTCGCGGTGGTACTGACAGTCGTGGATGTATGTATTAATATTATAGCGCATTTATTGTTTTTATTATATCAATATATGTGTTTAAAATAGGGCGTGGTAGAGAGTCTCGTGAAAATGATCGCAATTTACGAGAATCTCGTGGTGACAGAGACCGGGGTGGTGATCGTGGTGACGACAATTATCGTCGTGGTGGTGGCCGTAGTGGCGGTGGCCGAGGTGGTAGCTATATGGGACGTGGTGGTAGAGGTGGTGGTCGCATGGGTGGACTTGGTAGAGGACCACGAAATGATCGTGGTAGTCATAGTTACGGATCTCGCCAAAATACCAATGAAGATCATCAAGAGGTTGAACTGTGGGATAATACCATAGCCCAAAATGCTGAAAAGCAACAACAGTCGCAAGATGATGCATGGGGAGATTGGGACAATGAGGAGTATATGGGTTCTTTGAAAGAAAGTCAAGTATTTACACCAAGTAATTTGTCAAATCAGACAACGGCGAATGTTGTTAGTGGCAATACTGGTGGTACTTCTGAACTATCAGCGCCACCTGGTCTAGAGCATCATTTAGGTACATCAGTGCTTGGTGGTGCTTCTTCACAGCAACAAGGATCTCATTTAAATGCTCTAGTAGGCAGCGCAGTAAACGCTGGTAGCAATCTTGTGGAAGATGCATCATCTGTGACTGGTGTTCAAAATTCGGTATCCTCTGTTACTTCACCATTGATGCAGTATAGTGCTGCTGTTAACAATACCGCACTACAACAGCAATCAGTGTCGGGAACTGCAAATAGTGCGCTGACGGGAGCATCTCTCAATGCTTCACAATATAATAGTGCAGTGGACAGTTTTACCAATGCTTCCGCTGCTGCAGCAAATTTAGTACAACAAGTTCAGCAACACCATCAGCAACCACAGATAAAACCTTCCGGTACCCTATCTGCGGAACAATCTCAGTATTTCAATTCACTTACGTCGCAGAGTGCAGCTGCAGCTAATGTACAACAACAGCAAATGGTGTCATACGCACAAAACAGCGGAGTACAATATCCAACATCATATGCAAACGTTTTTGGTAATTCTGCTACATCAAATGTAGGTGGAAGTGTGACTGTTGATCAAACGCAATTGTCTAATGCACAGCAGCCACAAGTTAGAAGGACGCGACCAAAATTACCACCACCGTCAAAGGTTTGTAGTAGAAAATTTCTTTTATTTTATTTTTTTTTTTTTTTATTAATTTCAATATTTACACGATTATAATTTTCAAAACGTCGTAATTTAAATACGGGGTTTTGTAGAGATTCCAATACGAGCAATTTTTTTCCATACGCTATAAGAGAATACTACAACTGTAAAATTTTTATAATTTGCTATAAATAATTATAAAATTTTTATTTATGTGTTTCTTAACTATATAAAAATATTTAAATTTTTAAATACTTTTAGATACCATCGACTGCTGTTGAAATGCCAGGTGATACTCTAAATAATATTGGTTATCTCGATGTGCAATTTGGAGGTTTAGATTTTGGCAATGAAGATTCTTTTGATACTCTTTCGGAGAAGTTTAACAATTCTGTGACGATTGATGCACAACAACAGCAATTAGTGCAATCACAACAGGATGTTACGAATGATTATCAAGGGAAAACGAATGTGCAACCATCTACACTTACTACTGGACTGCAAAATTCCCAAATTGTAAGCATTTTTAATAAAAAGTGGTTATATTTGTAATATTAATTTTTTATATTAATATAGGGAGACTCTTTATCCACCAGTTACGTTCAACGAAGTTCTAATCAACAGCAACAAGTTTCCTCAAATGTCAATAATGTTGCATCTGTTAGTGGAAATAATAATGCATTGGATCAGTTAGCTAAAAATGACCCATACAATCAATCCAACTCAACAAATGCAACTGGATATCAAAGCAGTTATCAAACTAATCCCACTGGTAATAAATCGAATAATGCTTATCAACAAAATGCACCACAGGGCTATACTAACTCAAGTTATGTTAACGTTCAGGTTAGTAACATGTTATTTTAAGATAAACATTTTATAAAAATATTTTTTATTTACCTTTATTACCTTTATTAATTAATTTACAGTCATCAGCAGCAAATACGTATCAACCGCAATACGGTTCCTATCAACAGAATTCAGTAAATACGTATCAGCAGTCACAACAGACCGGCGCTGCCCCAAGCACTACGAATGCAGTTGTTAGTAATAATGTCAGTGGTAGTGGTAGTTCATCACAAAACATTCCTGTTGGTGGCAATGGTACAAATAGTTCAACGTAAGCAAAAACCATATTGACTTTGTTTCTTGTTTTATTTATTAAAATCGCTAACGTTTAAAGTTTTGTTTATTTTATTAAAAATATTTTTATGCTAACTTTTTGTTAAAAAACACTTTAACTACTTAACACTTTACTGATACATTTAAACCTTTTTTTAAAAATCAATAAAAATTTAACTAATAGCGGAAACACTAATGCTGCATATTTATCGACGGGTTATCCATCACAGCAAAATTCATATCAGACCAGTCAGAATGTTTATGGTAATACTGGCCTGACAAGTAATACAGGGTATGTATTAGCAATTAAAAACTCATGTTAAGTTATTATTGCATGCACAACACTTCATTGTTAATTGTTTCATTTAAAGATGTTTAATATCTAATATGTTTGGTGTTTGAAATAGCTTCTTATTGATGTTCTGTGTTATCAATTTTCAATATATATTAAATATATTTAGGATTCAATGTTTAAGTTATTTTAAGAATGAATTTATTAAAATGGGTTTTCTGTTTTCGATGTGTAATGAGTGTTTAATTTCTAAGCGATTTAATATAAGAAGCTGATTTCTAGGTACAAAAAAAAAAGCGTAAAAAAACTTCCCGTATCTCAAAAAAAGCTGATAAACTGAAAACTCTGAAAAATATATCAAATATTGAAAAACAAGCTCAAATTGAACAATCATTACTAAAAAAACATTTTTCTATCAAATAGTGAGTTTGTTTAAAGTTGCTTTTCAAGTTTTCTGCACAAGAAATGGTTCTTTAGTTAATACGCCTTTAAATATTAATGATGTTTTCTTTACCTTATGGTGTCAAAAAAGTTTGAACAAACGACGACGATAGCTGCCACTTGAACCAAAATTGTACTACTTTATCTAAAACATTACTACTTGAACCAAAATTGAACTACTTGATCCAAAACATTATTACTTGATCAAAAACACTGCTACTTGATCCAAAAACAGTACTATTTCATCCAAAATCTCATATGATCTAAATTTCTTCATTACATTACGATAAGTTGATTAGACCGTAGATGAACAAGAATAATGTTTGGAGCAGTGTAATAATGTTTGATGTAAAACACTTTAAAGCGTCCAAGATCTTCCCACTTTATTTTAAGTTGATTAAATAAGCCTAAAGAGCTTTTTAAAAATACATGAAACTTCATGTTTTTCGAGCTGAACATCTAGGATTAAGACCATATAATTAAATCGAATAGACTAACTTAATGATTTTATCCAATGATTTTATTCATAAAAGTTCTGTGGCAAATACTTATTCTATTAAATTCATTGACTTTATTTATAAAAGTTTGAGTGTAAAGAACGTCAAATATATGACAAACAAAATATAGGAAATCAGTTTTTCTTATCATAATTATTAGGAACAGATATGGTTGATATCAGAGTTTTACAATTTTTATTAGCACCTTCGGTCTATAATAATTATGTTTTGGCATTTATAGATCTGATTTTTTAAACCTGTTCTTTTAAAACACTTGAATGTTTTCTCAGATTTGTAATACGTTTTTGGGTTGTTGTAGCCCGACGGGATTTACTTGTGTAACCTCTTTGGGGATGTTGAAAGGTATTAGTCGTCTTCGATAAGTAGCTTCGGGACATAAAACCGGCCGTTCTTGGAATCGTTGGTAAAAACTTGTTATTGTAAATCGCTGAGATCTGGACAGTAAATAATATGAAACTATACACGAGGCGAATACATGGTTTAGGATGTGGATAGGTAATGGTTGATTGGGGATAGGGGAGCGGGAGACTACGAAGTGGAGTTGGGTGGGTCTAAAGGTCGATTGGACGGAGTTTTGTGTGTGCGATAAATATTTTATGATATATATGGTTTTTGTAGCCTACAGAGCTCTGCTTATATAGAGCTCTGTAGGCTACAGAGCTCTATTTTGGGAGTGTTGAACAGCATTTGGTCATCGAACTCGACGAGTGGCTCTGGGACGTAGGCCCGGCTGCACTTGAAGCCAATAAGTATAGTTGCTGGCATCGCTTTCACTGCAGCATATTAGTTGCGTTGCTGTTGTAAAAAGTCAATCCAATGTTACTATGAGAAAATTATAGGAATTTTTGGCTAGAGACGTCTATTAGTAAAAAATAAATAATAAATAGAATTATTGTACTATTTAAAATTTTTTTATTATTTCTACAATTTTTTAACTTCGATCTTAGGAACTGTCTTAATACATATGTATTTATAAATAAGTAGAAGTATTATCGTATTTGTGTTCTCTATAGATGTTGTAAAGTTTTGTTCATAGATTTATAGAACTAATTATTAACATTCTCATATTTTGGTATAAAAGTGTATTTTACATCAAATTTAGATATTAAAATGTGTCTTTGTAATTGTGTAAACCTCTGTCTTAAAAAATTTCTTTACACCTTTTTTTTTCGTTTAATTCTAACAACCAAACCAAATAAATAATTGAATCACCCATGTCCCTTGTGTCACACTTAGGTTTGCTGGTAGCACAAGCACATCATCGTCTCAATACAGTAACTTTAGTACTAGTGCTAAGTTAAAGGACACTACATCTGCATCTAACACCACGCATTTTGACAGGTAAGACTACACGTCATGATACTATGTAACTATTGAAAAAGGATTGACTGAGCTAAGTATATATATCTTAAAATGCATGCTATCACAATATAAAAATTGTTGATTAACCATATTAAAATACAGTTAAATTAATTAAATTAATAAAAGAAAATAATGATTTATAAATAATATGTTTTTTTTTTTTTTGCAGTGCTTCGTCAAACAGTGCTAGCAATAGCAATACTTCAGTGAGTTCGGTATCCAGCGCAGTTAATGCAGCAGCCACTGCTGCAAATAGCATCAGTTCCACATCGCTTGGAGGATTATCGAACTCGAAAGTTTCAAATTCTGCCTCTTCTAATAGTGTCAATGCGAATAGTGCAAATTCTGTTGGTAATAATAATACCAGTGCAACTAACAGTGCGAACAGCGTTAGTAGTGTTAATAACAACAATGTATCCTCAGTCGTAGCAGCCACTGCATCCGCTTCTACTGTTTCGTCAGGCAATAAGAACAGCGCAGCTAATAATGCTGGTATGGTGTCTAATATTCAAATGGTTAGTCAATATATTCAGACTGGATTGCCATATTATCAGCAACCAGTATATTCATACGAGGATATACAAATGATGCAACAGAGAGTGCCACATGTGGTGAGTTGATGGCGATGTACAACACAATACCAAAAAAAAATTACATACAATAACAACATATGCCATGCAATTCACTTAATCCCACTCAAAATTCAAACGCATTCTGCATGATTTTGCAAACATATAAACTCCAAATCCTATCACAATTTTTATACACACCAATTTCACTTAAAACTTACACAACAAATTTAAAACAAACAGAACATTGGTTATGGACTATGTTTATATTAGATAACAAAAAATGCTACAAAATTTTTAACTTAAAAGCGAAAATTGCATTTACTGTGAAGAGCTTGTCAATATACCTAATATGAATTGATTTCTTATAATAACATAAATTGTGTATTATGGTTTTCAATATCTAATTCATTTCTATTATAAGCAAAGTCATCATTAACATGATACACAATCATGTTGTTTTCTATATAAAAAAAATGAATTTAAAAAGTAATTTCTTAATCCAAACAATGATACAAATCTTATGCGAGCAAATGATACAAATCTCTATTTTTAACAGAGAGATTTCGAAAAGTAGTGAACTACAACAACAAATATTTTTTTTTATTTTATTTTCGATTATTACCAAATACTCATCATCAGTGGTCTTGGAATTATTTCTCTTGTATTTAATTACATATTCGTGAATAGTTTTTTTGAGACTGCAAGTACAAGTTTATTTTTAACTTTATTTAAAATGAAGTATGTCAAAGATAACACTATCTAAAAAATAAGTGCTACTTTAGTTACACACTAGGTAAATAAAAATAATATATAATTTGTTATGTTACATCAACACTTTAGAAAACTACAAGCTTTCAAATAATATTTTATAGTCTGTCTATTCAAATAATTTTAATTTTAATTATTTGACTTCATTATAATTTTCAATTAAAATTATAATTAAATTCCATAGATTTGACTATTAAAATACGATCCATAAGCGGCAGCTTTTGACGCTTGAAAATGAGTTTTAATTGCTTTTGTTTTTTTTTTAATTGTGTTTACACTATACTGAAACTTAAAGTTTAATAGTTTTTCAATGTTATTTTTTTTTTCTTGCCGAAAGTTACTCATCTTATAACAAAAAGAAAGAAATTAAAAGTTAGAAGGATTCGAATATAAATAAAAAGACAACAACAAACATTTTAGTTAATTTATTGAAGTTTGGTTAACCACACAATCCTGTTTAGAGTATTGCCAAGTACTTATCATCAGTAGTGTTAGCAATTATTCGAGTTTTTTTAAATTATTTTATAGTCCCTATGTAATTTGTTTGGACTGCAAGTAACAGGCTTATATTACTCGGGCTTGTATAAATATTTTTTGTTTTGTATAATAAAAATTAATTTAACCGAGGAGACCTTTGTTATTTAACAACTCAGATTTTTAATAAGTAATATTTATAAAGATATTCAAATTTTTGTTTATATTTTAAAAAGTGAAAATACTTTATAGTAAATACTTCATATTTTAATGTAAATACTTCATAGGACATATAGAGTGTTTCGTATAATCCTGTAAAACGTTTGTTTGCATATAAATGTAAAGTGTGGTATAACATTTAACACTATGATTAATTTAATTCTATTATTCTAAAATTGGTTTATAATATTGATATAATATATTATTATTATTAAAAAGTAGACGTGAAAATTGCCCAACAGCCGGTACTGCGGCCAGAAGAGACCTATTGTACCAGTTTCACTATTGATTAAACAAAGCCCCTTAAAGCTTTGTGAATACAGTCTAGAACTAAATCTAGAGAAGAGTTCTTAATCTGTTCTGGTGACAGAAATTCTTTATGAAACAGGTTTCTTCTCTGCGTTATTAAAGCTGGACAGTCACAAAGAATGATATAATATAACACAGCTAGTGAATTTGTTAGAAGAATAACAAATTGTTTGCAAAAGTCCAGTTGGTCAGTTGGTTAATTAACACTGATTCTGATTTAAATTTGATAGGATACAAGTTCTATCTTTGGTACCTGCAGTCTAAAATAAAAAATTATTTACATATAACTTTGTATAAAAAATATTTTAAAAAAATATCACTAACACTGGATATTTAGCAATACTAAAAAAACAGCTGTATTCTGCAAAAAATGTAATTAGTTAAAAATATGAATTTTTTGTTGTTGTAAATCACTACTGTTCAAAAAACATTTCTATTAAAATATAGTTTCCATTGAGAAAATTTTTAAATCAGTAATTATCTCTTTTTCGCGCGAAAGTGAATGGATAAAATGTAACCCTTCTGTTTCTGTCTTCTATTAAAAATCAGTTTCAGGCGTAAAGATGTCGTTAATATTAATAGGCCTATTTATTTTTATTGTCATTATCAAAATCTAGTTAAATTTAGATGTGTAATTCACAATGGTATAATTCTAGAGCAATATTGCTTATAAACTAAAGTAAAGCAAACAAAACATTGCTGCGATGTGTTCGGCATTTTCATTTACGAATCTAACTACTAGAAACAAGATTAAGATAAAATTATGATTAGCTGTGTGAACATGTTTTTAGTAAAACGAGCCGAACGAGCAAAATTTCAATTAGTTGTGCTGTGTAAAACGACTATTAAATAGTTTCCTGTAACCAAAAATTTTGATAAATGTTTTAATATTAACCGTGTTTTATTTTTTATTTTATTTTCTATAATATTGTGTCAAGACAATATGAGAATTCAGCTAATTTTTTAAATGCACTGCTGTGCATATAGAAACTGAATTATTTTTTTTAAGTCTTTCATTTGGCTATATACAAAAATTTAGTGTATATGTATATACGGTAAAAATAAAACGTGCCTATTAAAGTTATTTATACAAGGGTTCTCTATAAATTCGACGACTTTATTATTATAACAAATTTTCTTGTCGTTTTTCTGTTATCATAATTTCTCACATTAAAATTTTATTCTCTCACATTAAGTAATATATAGATTTGAATTGAGTTTAGGGTTTTTTAAATTAAGAGCTACAAAAAAAAGCAACAATGTAAATGCAAAAACTATGTACCAAAAATAAAAAAAAACATAGTGCCAACAGCAGCAATGTTTTGATTTATTAATACTACTAATAATAGTACTGTTGTTATTGTAACCCAAAGACCTGCTGTTTTATTCCTGTTAGTAATGTTTGTTATAGTAAACCTAGACTAGTAATAGTCCAGGTAAACAAACGTGGCTTTGAGATGCAAATCCAATCACTACATCGAGAGCACATATTGTCGCTCATACTCTCTCATATCTTTCTAAGCTCCCATACGATATTTTTGTATTTATTGGACCATGAAATTACTTTCTAAATTTATTGTCTTTATATAGAAAATAACTAATATACATTACATATATGGTAAAGAAATAGTTTGCTACTTTTGATTTAAATTGTTTAAATAAATTTTAATTTGCTTTTTTAAATTTTAAAATTCTCAACGGTTTAAAATTTTTAATTATTTTGCTAATTGAAAATGAAAATAATTAATTATAATTATTTGGATGTTTAATATGTTGTGGTGTGTTAAAAGTTAAGTTTTGTGCTTGTAATGAAATATTTATAAAGAACTGTTGTATCATTTTGTTGTTATTTGGCTTTAAAAAACTACAAAAGAAATTTGAATAAAATGATGCAAACTATTTTGCTCTACAATTTTTACATTTTTCTTTAACCAAATCACTCACATTATCCACCTCATGTAATAATCATTACCTGTTACATTCGTAGAATCCCATCAATTGGCATCCATAAATTGGCATTTTTTAACTTTTTGTTGTTTTGTTTTTGTTTTTAATAAAAATATAATAATGGTGACTAGTATATACTTTATAAAATATTAATATATTTTGCTTTTTATATATAATATGCTTTTTATTTATATTGTATATTTAATATTAATTTCAAAGAAAATTTATAACATTAATTTTATTAAAACAGTGTATATATGTTTTGCTGTATAAGTATATATGTAAATATGTGTACTACTAATATTGATAACGAAGTTATTTCATTTTAAATTAAATTTTTAAAAATAGATGTACATACTTGTGATCAGTCCCTGTTAAGTTGTTCGTTAACACTATACTTTATCATATTATAGTATAATAGATGAGATTTTTCACTACACAATACCTGTAAACAGCTGGTTCATCTCTACAGTTATGGTAAGGTATCCCTCTTGAGCAGAACAGAGTTGAGACTGCTGGTGGGATATTTAACAGGTCCGAAGAGATGGAGTGTCGACTCTGCTTAGAAGCAGACGAGACTTTCAGTCACATTCTCTGTGACTGCCCAGCCTTGATCTGGGCCAGGAGGAGGTTACTGAGAGGAGAGCTGCTCTCCCCTTTTGACATTAGGAGGTCCTCAACGGACGACATTCTGACCTTCATTTGGAAAGCGGAATATCTTCCGTTCGGTTAGGGTCTGTTGCAGCACAAAAGATCAATCTGGTCGCAGTGTTGTGCTCCGTCGGGAGCTGGTATCCCGTTCATTCCTATCCTACCTGTACATAAGTTGAAATATAGCAACAACTTACTTCACAATTCTTTATTTCAATTTATCCAGTTGAGTTAGTTAAAAAACGGTCCATTAAGATTTTACAGTACGGTAATTCTTCCCTTTTGGCATGAATATAACCTTTCGATGAACTTTGAAATCAGTTCTCTTCCGTTTACTACTGTTGTGAACAATCTATTTCTTGTTTTCAGTGCTGATTCTTCTTAAAAATATATCATTATTTTGCTCTTAATTGAGTAAAAAATGTAGCAGTCAGTTACTTTAACTAAAGCGAAACCAACATATGTTTGAGAAAAATGCAATAAAACATGGAATATTCTATGCTGATTTTTATAGCGGTTGTGCCTCTGTAGACGAGATGGAAACTATGTCTTACTTTCACTGTGTCAATGCCTACTTTTGATCTGTAGAAGTTTAAGTATAATAACATGGGATATCCTCTAATGATTTTTATAGTGGTTGTATCTCTGTAGAGGAGATGAAAAGTGTGTCTTATTATCACTATATCAATGCTAACTTTTGGCGTGTAGAAGTTTAAAAATTTTATAAATTCTTTTTATTATCAATCTGACAGAACTGTCATTCTTTAGAATTAGGGATATAGCTAAGTTTATAATCTTATCAAATTCGTTCCCTATTACTCAAATAGTGTAGTTAATCATTTTCGAATGAACGTTGTCCAAGTCTAACAGCTTCATTCATCTATATTTTTGGTAGTGTTTCAGGTCTGTTATAAGACCAACATTTTTCAGAGTATTTGCCTTTCCCATTTCAACCAAACAAAAATTATTTTGTAAAATCAAAAACCTTTTTCTAACAAGCTTTCTAATAACAGCTTCAGATACTTTCTCAGATCTGTTTTGAAGTCTATTAATTTTTTATTAACTTTATTTAGTAACCTTATGTGCCTTTTAGGTATAGGGTTATACAGTAACCTTATAGGACATATACTATTCCTTGTACATTTTTTTCACTCTTCATATTTTTACATATTAATTTTTGTATGACTTCAAAGAGGTTTTGGGTTTCGCATCATTTCTAGATTACATTCCATTTTTAAATAACATTTATTTCATTTTTAACATATAAATTAATGCTATAATAATATAATGTATAACACAATTTTTTACATTCTTAAAATTTAATTAAAACTATGTTCGGTGCAGTAATTTAGTTAAATATATGAAATAACTTTGTGAAATAATAAATTATATATATATATGTAATATATATATAAGAATATATTATATATAATAATTTATAATATATGTATAATAATATATATATTTGTATATATTACCTGTATTGATAAATGTTTACTTATAAGAACTATAATTAAATAAAGTTTATACAGCAAAAAAATCAAAACTGCAATATATATAAAAATAATATTTATTTATTTAACTATATTTAAAAAATATAAAATACTATTTTTATATATATAATAATTAAATAAATTGTCTATGTTTATGAATAATATTCAATTGTTCAATGTTCCGTTTTTATAGCAGGGCTTCTATGATTTGAATTACACCCCCACAAGTTTGGGCGCTGGTCGTGACAACTTGGGTTCAGTGGCATATTCTACTATGACTGATGGCCGATTTGCAAGGACCGACAATAACTCTAGCCCAGTGAGTAATGTAAGTAAAGTTTAGAAATTCATATTAATAAAGAATAATATATATTTAATTTTTAAATAAAAAATAATTTAACTTGAAATGGAGGTCGAGTGTAATAAACTGTAATGTGGTTTTCTTTTCACAGTTTAAGAATACCCTGTAATTTTTTAAAACATTTGAAGTTAATACTTTTTTCATTAGTAATATTTTCAACCATTAATCTATTTATATATGATAGTAATGAAATATTTATGTTATGCGTGAGAAAGCCTGTCGTTTATAGACTCAACAAGTTTAGTCAATTTAGTTTCTGAACGGTTCTAAAACGGTAATATAAAGGGTGTGTCGCATATAGCAAAGCTGCCGACTCTACTATACAAAAGTTACAAGTCGTTCAAAGTCAGGCTCTCCAAAGGCTCTTCAAAGTGCCTTGGTACATCCGCACAAACGACATGCTAAGAGACCTTAGAATAGACCCGATCAAAAAATATATAAGGGACAGAGCCCTGAAGTTATATGCGAAAATTGACAGGCTATCCTACTTACCACTATCTAATCTTAGAGTAATCGCTCTCCGCACGGGGAATTACGTAGATCTTAGATCAATCACTGAATAATCATGAAGCTTATAGGCAATACATAAATTAGTCAAATGAGATGAGGGTCCCACTGTAGTACCCCCAGCTATCAAGAGTAAAAGTACCTAGTTGCGCTGACTCGAAAAAAGAATCAACATACATAAAGGAGATTCTAATATAGTTAACTATCGGGGACTATCACTGCTCGACTCTATCTATAAAATATTTACCTATATACTACTTTCGCGTATAAATAGCTGGGTTGAGCTCAATAATATCTTAAACGAAAAACAAGCCGGATTTCGCAGATCCTACTTAGCTCTTGATAACATTTTCGATCTGATCTGATCTATTTTATAAATACATTTAAATTTTAGTAACAATAAGAAAACATTATTTTTTTTTTCAATCTAGCTAATCCCAAGTACGCTACGGTGCCCTATTTTGGAGTTACAAACATTATGATCAAGTGAAAAACTAGATTTTTTATAGAAAATATTTTATTTCTACCCACTAACAGTCCAAACTATATGCTTCAATTAGAAACGGGCTTTTAGATTACAAATATTTTTTTTATTGAGAATATATAGTTTATATGGTCTTTTTATTTTATTTTTCTAAGAATATTAATAGTCAAGTACATATTAAAAACAATTATTAAAATTACAATGGTTTTCTTTTAATTAGGTATCGAGTACAATGTCACAACAAGCAGGTTCAAGCGCGCCTATGCTTAATGTTCCTTACGCGTATTTCTATGGTGGCAATGTTATGCCTGGTGGTTTTCAATATGGTACGCCGGCTATATATCCTGTAAGTTTTATAAAATATATACATAATTATTTTTTTGTTTCAAAACTTTATATTTTATTGATTGTGTATTTCTTGATGAAATGCCTTTTTTTAATTTATAAATAAAGACAAATTTTTTTTATGTTTTAATTTAGTTTTTATAATTATATCCTATGTAAATGTCACCGACGTGACGAAGTCTATTCCTTATTATGCTGTTGTTGTAGCCCGTTGGGATCTGCTTCTGTAGTCTTTTGTAGTGATGGTGAAACGCACTTGGTAGTAGAACTCGGTGAGTGGCTCCGGAACGTAGTTCTGGTCGTTCTTGGAACCCACTCCATGTTATAACATACCGCCCTGAGAAAGAAATCATGGTTCCAAAAATGGCAGGGTTCTCGTCCAAGCCACTTGTCGCCAGCGATGATCAACTACCCTTCAACACCTCCCAAAGAAACTTCATAAGCAGGTCCCAACGGGTTGCTACAACAACAACAGAAAGAAGTTACACAAATTTCGAAACGTCAGTGACATTTATAGAGAAATTTAATTTTTTAATCAAGCTTAATAATTGTATTTCAAAGATTTAATATATTTTCCAAAAAAAATATTAATTTATTTTATATTTAAATAGCAACAAATTCCTGCTGCTAATACAGCATCTGGTGGTCAATTCCCAAAACCATCTTATAATACTGGTTACGGTTCAACTAGTTATGATGCACTTACGCAAGCTTCACAGGATTATACAAAGGGGGCATACCCTTCTAATGTGAACCAGCCGACAAAGTCGCAGAATGTCACAAATCCACAGCAAGGTGCAACCGGTTCGGACATTACATCGTCCATGTATGGCAAGGGACATGTAGCATTAAACAAGGTCAATGTAAGTAAAAATCATTTTTTATAATATTAAAAATATACAATTTCATTTTTTTATAAAATTTTATAATAAAACTTTCTTTTTTAGTCATATGAAAAGCAAAATTTCCATTCTGGTACTCCACCACCATTTAATATGAGTAACACACAGACAGCTGGTGGTGCATCCGCTCAGCCCTATGGCATGTATTTACCAATGCCTGCAGCTGGTCATCATAACATGATTCATCAACCAATACATCAGGTATAGTATGACTTCATTTAAAATGTATTTCATATCAATTGGTGTTTGACAACTTGCATGTGGATTAATATCTCATTTTTATGTTATATATTGGTATGCATATTTAATGTAATATAAATATTTTTCTTTCGTTATTATTTTCTTTTCCACTAATATACTTTTATTTATTTATTATTTTAACATATGAAAATTTTGCTACAAATGTGTTAAAACAGCATATAGGATATAGGACAAACAATTTGATATATTTTTATAAAACTTTGCCGGGTTGAACTTGAAGATATTTTCTTTAATGTTTAAATTAATGAACCAAGGAACCTTAAATTTGACGAACAAATTCTTATATATAACTTATAACAATGTCTGTTATACAAACATTTTGTTTAACATTTCTAAAAACTGTTATAATTTGAAAAACAAATTCTTATATATAACTTAGACCAATGACTGTTATACAAACAAAAATTTCTAAAAACTGTTATAATTTGAAGAACAAATTTTTATATATAACTTGTAACAATAACTGTTGTTTAAACATTCTATTGAAAATTTCTATTATTTAAAATTTCTATTATTTAAAATTTCTGTTATAATAATTATTTATTTATTTTTTTTTTTCAAATTTCGTCATATATTTTGTAATTCTTATATTTTGTAAGTCAAAATTTTATCAATAGTCTTTCTTTAAATCTTTTAAAATTTTAGTATTGTACTTAATTTTTTTTTCTTTGTTTTAAAAAATTAAAGAATTATTTTTTAATTTTATTAATATATTATATGTTGCAATACTACAAAAGAGTTCTTATTTAAATGTTCGAATTTAATACCAACTTCATATAACATAAATTGCTATTTAAAGGTTTTAATAATATATTTATTTTATTTTTTTTTGTTTCAACAATTTGGTTTAAAAGAAATTTTTTTGAATTATATTAATAATTTTACTTCTACATTTAAACAAAAAAATGTATATAATAATAAATTTGTGTCAACAATTTTTAAACTGTTATACAATCAGTACCTATGTAACTGTTATACATATATCAATTTGAAAATAAAAGATTTATATCATAAACTAACGAAAATCATAATCTAGTCAAAAAAAAAAAATTATCGATTCATTTCGGTTCACTACATCCCACTTCAGTTTTAAAAAAATTTAATAGGTATATGTTAGTTTAATAAATTCGCTACGTATATCTTTTCGAAAAAAATTAATTAGATGACAAAAAAAATTATTTTTAATACTAATACATAAAAGTTCGTGTCTTCCAACCGTGTCCGAAATCGAAAGAAACGTAATTTTTGTCGTAAATAAAATGAAATTGAACCGATATATATATAATTTTTTAAATTGAACTGAAACAAAATAGTTTTCGACTTCTACAATCAAATAATATTCTATAAATTGAATTATTATAATTTTATTTATATTTATTTTATTATTTACCTACACCTAATTGTTAATAATCTAATTTAAATTAACTATTAATAGCAGCCTGTTTGCCATATTTAAATTATTTTACTATATCAAATGATATAAAATTTCATGAAAAATAACTTTAATAATGAGTAAAATAATACAATAACAAAGTTTTATTTTAAAATTAGAAGAAAAAAATTTCCTGTTTGGTGCAGTGTTAAATTTTAATAATTTATACTTTTTAACCGAATTTTTTCTAATTTTTTAATTAGAAAATTTAATTTGTTATGTTAATTTGCTGACTTTTACTACACTATATGATACTATTAATTCACTATATATGATGGTACTATAAATTTATTGTAACAAAATAAATCCTTACTAAACGTCTAATGTCATCTTTAATTCATCATAAAACAATCTTAATTTCTTGGCCTTTATCTTTTATACAAAAACTTCCTTGTGGCTATGTTATGCAGACAGTTATGGTCACATCAAATGAAAATATAATTTTCAATATAACTTTAAAAATTGTAAGATTGAGGCAAGAGTGAAATTGTGATAAAACTTTGTTCAAAGTGATAAGGCTTTTTAATAATATTAAACAAATTAAAATCTCTTAGATTATAAAATAAATTTAATGATAACTTTTTCCTTTTATAGTAAAAAAATAAAATAAAATACAAAATAGTTGCTAAAAAAAAATTCCTTCAAAATCATCAAAAAAAGTTATATCAATAATTGTAAAATGTTGCCATTACTTGCATTATTTGTAAACATAATTTTAAATATACTTCTTTCTTTATAATTTTATAAAGAACTGCTAAAATGTTATTAAGCAAAAGAAAAAATCTCTTTAAAATCATTAAATAAATTTTAATTCATTTTATTTTTAATAATAAAATAAAAACATTTCTCTTCATTAAAATTAAATCATAAAGCATGATTATTTTTCTGTTTGATTTATTATTTTTATTTTTTGTTTTGTTTTTTTATGGGACAACATTAGATGGACGGCAGGATTCATAACTCATCCCGCCGGGTAAGTTATAAAAAAACACACTTCAGCTAAATTAACATAGCTCATTTTAAACACGCATTATAAACGGCAAAGTTTTATAAAAATCAACAACTAAAAAAAAACATTTCAAAATTATTTCCATGCCATAAATTGGATTCTTTTCAAGTCAGACAACCATTCAAATATCTTAACTGAATTAGTGTATAATATTATAAATTAAGAAGACATTTCCCATTCCATTTATTAAACAATTAAGAATTTTTATTTAAAAAAAAAACATTTAAATTAAAAAAAATTTCCATGCATTACAAGTTACTCGAAACAATGCTTATAATTTATTATTAATTAATTTTTAGTTTTTTTTATATATTCTTTGTAAGAAAAAATTATTTATAATATTATAAATATTATTTATGTTTATTAAATACAATACACTTGCAACACAGTTCTTTAAGAAAGTCAAAGAGTTTTCTTTAATTATATTCAGTTGTCCTGCCCATGGGGAAGACGACTTATGTGCGTTCCTTACTTAGTGTTTACACTAGCTAGGGTTTGGCCAGAACTTTGTTTGAATGAGTTTAGTCTGTAAATAATAACTTATATGTGTTTGTGAAAATGTAATAGTGTTTGCATAAATATTGTCAAAGACTAGTCCGTTTGAACGCAATGTTATAAATAATAGAGTACTGCACGCGCGCATTTGATTTCAGTTTCAAAGCATTCTATTGTGTTTAGAATGGTAGCATACTCTCACTCTCAACGAACAAATACGAATGTATAGGCATAAAAACAAAATGGAATAGAATAAATATTTGTTTCGTTTGTTTAGAGTACTCTAACTCTAAACATTCTAAAAGTAGTTGAAGTAGTTGGGAGTACTCTAAGCATTTGATTTTCAGTTCATACAAAAATTATGTGTTTTTAAATAGTAAGACACAAATTTATTTTTTTAAGTTTTTTTATTAATTAAATATTATTTAAAATGTTGATAATAGTAATTTGTTGGTTACATATATAATATGACTTAATATATTAATTAATTATAAAAAAAATTTTGAACAAAAATTTATTTAAAAAAATTATAATAAGTTTTTTTACAGTTTTTACAGTTCACAAATTTAATTTAATATTCAAATTAAATGTTGAGCATCGTCTGACTTAATTCCTCTTTTTCAAGATTGTTGTGTAAAACATGATTTGATTGATAGATCTTTGATTAGATGAAATCAATGTTCTTTTTTCTGATATTAAGTTCCGAGCAACTGAAAAAACCCTTTCCGAAGATGCACTACTTGCTGGTGTTGCAAATAATTTACAAGAAACTTTGTAAAGTAGGAATTCTGAAGGAATTCTTAAGAAATTTCTAAAAATCTCTCTTGTCATAAATAGATATTTTTACCATATCATGCATAAAATTATTTTCCAGGAAAAGGTAAATATGTGAAGCAATTTATTTTGTTACATCATAAAAAACTATCGACAAAGAAGGAAATTCTACGCAAACCGTTTTTTTAAGTTAACCTTTTGCATTAGATCTACCTGTTTAAACAACTTTTGCATTGAAAATAACAGAAAATTAAACCTAATTTACGTACTTTGTTGTTGCAATTATTGCATATTATCTCTACGCACATCCAACTTTCTTTACTTTTGCGCAGGCAACCAAACGCACACAAAATATATAAAATATTTCTTTGCAAAAATAGAATTATTTGAAATACTCTAAAAGTGATTGAAATACTCTAAAATATTTGTTTATTTGATTTTAAAATTCAAAACAAACGATTATAGAGAACAAATCAACCCCCATTCCATTGAAACGAATGCTGCGGAAACGAATTCTATCCGACCGTTTCTGTTATTCGTTCGTATTCGCTTTAGAAATAATTTGTAAATATGGCACACATTTGAAAATAAAACGAATGACCGCAAAAACGAATGTTTTGATGCAGCACTTTAATAAATAATGAAAAACAGAAATATTTAAAAAAACCCTAAAAATCCCAAAAGAATATTTTAAAAAATAAATGTTTTCTTATTTTGATACCAAAATGATGACAAATTTTGTGATTATCTATTCTATATAATATATATAGAATAATGAAGAGGCTAATAAACGATGACTCTGAGCTTCGAAATGGGCAGGGTATAAGTTGGTACCTTTAATACTTGCGGTCTCAAAAATTAATTAATTAAAATTAATAAGACCACTCATCGTTGGTATTTGGACATACTCGAAACAGCTGATAGTCAGCCAGAAATTCAATTAATTAAAATAATATAGAAAGAATTTTTGTTGTAGTTCACTACTTTTCGAAACTTCTCTATATTTTTATTTCTTAAAATATTATTCCAAAATGATCTATCTTTACCAAATAATTTTGTTCAATATTTGAGACTGATACATGTTTAGTGTTCTATAATAGAAAGTATAAACTTTATGCAAATGTTCTTAAGTCTACTCGTTCTCCACACATTCATATAACATAACAGAAAAAAGAGGATGTTCACGACTTAAGCGGGTATTACATATGATTCAGTGCCGACATTATTTTCAACACTCCTCAGTAAAAAATACTACAAGTATTACCACAAAATAGAATCATGCGCGCAACGAAACTATGTTTTCGCTTCCATGACTTAAAACAGAATGAAATTTGAATGGAAGCCGACAAAAATCCAATTGTATACGAATAAGCAAGACTAACGAAAAATCAAAATATTTTGATTTCCATCGCTCCGCTTGTCATTCCTGCAAATGTTGCTATTACACATGGGGCTTGGCATAAATTTCGCATTTTATCGCGCCAAGTGAACAGTGTAATACCCGCTTTAGATGGCATGAAAATGTCGAAACAGACTTAAAGAACATTAGGAATACTCGATTATTAACCAAAGCCTAAAATTTCTAAATAGCATATACGTATAATACCGGAGCCAGTTTCCGGTCTAGCTAAAAAAAAATCAACATTCGACTTTGTTTACATATATTCCTCTCAAGACTGATACATTCATTGCAATGCTCCTAATTTGTCTTTTTGTAGAACTTATAGTGGGCAACCAAGCCCATATGGTTTAACATTAGAATTGTGTTTATTCGAACAATCCTTAAATATCCGTTATGTGTAATGAGCTATGTGCCAAGAAATAATAAAAAAAACTTTAGAAGAATCCTGCAATATAATATATCCCATGGTGGACATTTAAATTCTTTATTTTACACCTAATATATAAAGCCAAACAATATACTGAAAAAATCATCTGATGAAAGTGTGTTTCCACTGCTCACTTAGAAAGTGTAACTTGTAACTAAGTGTAACTTACTAAGTAAATTTCATTAACCACACAAAAAGCTTTCATTTTTTATAACTTACTTAAAAATAAATTAAGAAAAATTACACAAAAATATCGAATGATCGAATCCAATTCTTAAAAATAAATTAGTCACAAGAGATATTACCGAAGTTTGAAATGTTTGTCATATGTTAGGGTACACACCCTGTAAGATGCTCTGCTTTAGGTTTCATCAATAAGGAAAATACTTATTTCGTTTCATACAAATACGTTTAACTAAAATTTCATTGAATATTTTGGAGTGTCTATCTCTAACGTTCCAAATATTTTGTAACACAAATTTATTCGAACATCAAAATACTCGAACAATGGCTTTCTTCAGCGTAGTCCTCTTCTTGTTTGCCCTTAAAATGACCTAAATGGAATAGTCTATCAGATTTGCGTCTGGCGTTGTGTGGACGAAATGAAGTGTGAAATATGTTTTTTTAACCATGCTTGATTCACACGAGCTTTATGAGACAGTTCCAAGTCTTGTTAGAAAGTTCATGCAAAACATTTTCCCGATAATAAGTCGCATTGACTTTGACACCAGGCTCGATGAAAACGATTGATGAAAGCGTCCATCAGCGGTTACATCTGCACATAGTATTACTTTAGTGGGAAAATTACTTCGGGTGCCAATTTGTAGTCTCATTCGTAGTGTTTTCGGCAGTGCGTTAGGTTTACTGAACGCGATCATTTTGAGAGTTTATGTACTGCTCAATGGAGAATTTTTTCTCATCAAAAAACACGTTTGGAAATTGTCCACGTTCGTGCAGGCGTAACCACTCCTTTAATCTTTCGAGTCTAACTTTTTGTTGTTTTAGTGTAAGATCTTGTGCTTTTTGGAACTTGTAAGGCTTTACCTTGAACTTTACCATCATTTTGGAATATGCGTCGGATGCTTACCTGGGATATTTTCACTTCTGTGGTCATTTGTTTAACACTATAACGTGGCTTTCGTTCAAGTCGAGCATTTACTTTCTGAACTATTTTAGGAAATGTTGCTGTTTTTTTTTTTCGTCCACCACCATAGGGTTTGGCAACGCTACCTGTTCTATTATAACGATTTATGGCACAATACACAAACATTTTATTCACTTTGAGGTGTTTGAACTCACGAACAATGGTTGTGATTTTTCAGCCAAACATAACGCAATCACTCTATTACGTTTGAATTCCATTTCGAATAACTTTTATTCTATAAAACTTAAATGCAAATGTTTGTGGTAACTTCTTAACAATATATACAGCGGTCATTCATATGAATTTCACGTAGTTGGCAATATCAGCATGGCCGATATACCTATGTGTAGTTGGTAACACTTCAATCGACAATTCAATTATTTAAGAGTAAATTTTCAAATTTATTACTTTTTTATAAATATTAAATAATTTATCATTAAGAAGATTGTGCAACCTGATTTTAATATCATTTTTAGTTAGTTGTTTTTAGTAAATTCTTTAACTATCTTTATTAATTTATTTGACAATTAAATAATTTATAATTTATTAAATTTTTATAAATATTTACTAATTTTTTATATATAATAAATTCTCATAACTATATTTATAAATTTATTTTGAACAGTACTTACGAATATTTTATATTTAGTAAATTCTTAAAATTATATTTATTAATTTAGTTTTAATAATTAAAGAATTTAAAATTTATTAAACTTTTAAAAATATTTACTAATTTTTTATATATAATTAATTCTTCATTAATTTAGTTTTAACAATTAAAGAATTCAATATTTAATTATTAAACTTTTAAAAATATTTAGTAATTTTTTATATGCAGTAAATTCTTATAACTATATTTATTTAGTTCTAATAATTAAAGAATTTTTTAAATAATATTTCGTTTTTATTTTTTTTTCAGGATTCGAACAGTACAGGTCAGCGTCAGCAAGCTAGTAGCCAAGCTAAGTCGGCTGCTAAGCAGAATTACTCACCTTCGTATTGGACAGGACAAAACTAAATCTTTTACATATAAACAAAAAAAAAAGCAAAAAGCAAAAACACTGTATTGAATGGTCCAATCTTAGATCTGTTTATTACCATTCAACACAAAGAAGAAACAATGTCTCGTTTTTATGATGAATACCCACAAGAAATATGAAATCATTTGATTTTTAAAACAACAACAACAACAACAACAAACAAACAGAAAAAAACAGAAAACAAATTTAGTAAAATATGTCCTTTGTACATCATCTACTAATTAATTCATTAACTTATACTATACCACCATACTCCTCTCCCATGCACCAAAAACAGTAAAAGCATACATAAAGATTCATTTTTAATTACAAATACATTTACAAAGATAAATTTATATTTAATAATAATTAAAATAATTTTAAAAAACGTAACTGAGCGTAAAGAGAGTAATAAGAAAAATTATATTAAATATTGTAATCGATTAAAAATTTACATGTATAATTATAATCTTAATACTTAAATTTAAATACAAATACAAACAAACAAATATACGTTTAAATACAAAACAAAAACAAAAATAAAAACATAATACACATTTTAAAAATAAAAATATAAAAAATGATATAATTTTTAGTTTAGTTAACTTCTATTAAACATTTTCCAGTTAAAAGGAAACTCGATTTGTTGTTGGCTCATTAATTTTTAATTTTTATGAGCTAACAAAGGAAAAAAAAAAAGAAAAATGTTTTGGATTTGTGAAATAAAGTGCTAAATATATGCATATTTTGATATAGTGAAATAAAATAATTTTTTACTTTTAACAAAATTACTAAAACTAAATTAAATTTTATATTTTATTTATCAAATTTACAAAATAATAAATATATGTATTTCTTGTATTTTTAACTTATGCTAAAGATTTTATTAGTTTGTTTTTAATTTGCAAATAAGAAAAAAAATTTTTTTTTTTTTTTGTATATAAAAAGCATAAAAGCATGTCCACTATTAAATGCTTTCCTCCGCCTGTCATACAGTTCGTTTTTGTGAGACCCTATAATTAAAAGTTAGCTTTATTTAAAATTGCACGCAAACAAAAAATTTTAAACTGTCTAAAAAACTGTATTTTAATTCGTAAATATTCAAAATTAAGCAAACTAACATAGTTCTAAGAAAAGCCCAAATATTATTTATACAATATATGCGCCACAAAATATTTAATTTAATTTTTCATATATCTTTTATACCTTAAAGAACTACTTATATTTAAAAAATGTAAAAGCAAAGAACGTTTCAGTAATTAAAAAAACAATAATTATTTATTTTGATTTTTTTTTTTTGTTTTTTGTTTTTTGTTTTTTCTTATATTACTTTATTTATATTGTCGCTTAATATAACTTCTTAATTTTTTTTTTTGTTTATTTATAGTAATTATTTACTTATCGTATGCATATCTTTATTTGAGTTTTTAATACATTATTACAATAAATCTTTTTCTCAAAGGCAGACTTTCATAAATCGCCAATCCACAAAACGCTACTAGCCCGTACAATATATATTTCCGTGGTACTGATCCTTGCAGGACGCATTAAATATTTAATCGATCCTTGTGAAACACATCGAATAATTTTCCGATCCGCAGTACATTTTGGATTCAGAAAATCTGTTCTTAGGTTTGCAAGTCTTCTATTGGTCTTTGCTTGATGAAACGCAGGTTAATTTCTAAAGCAATTTTACTCAATAGTTTTTATGAGCTGAAGAAACGCAGGTTAATTTCTAAAGCACTTTTGCTCAATAGTGTATATGACCTGATAAAGCGCAGGTTAATATCTAAAGCACTTTTACGCAATAGTGTACATGACGACTTTGGTTGATACATTATAACAAGAGCTTTATTAAATTTTGATAAGTTATTCAGGTAAATTTAGAGAAGTATAGTTTAAAGTCCAGCATATCTTCCTGAGGGAATATATACTGTATTTGATTAAAGAGTGTGGAAATCCAAATTAGTGTGCGCATCTACAGAAACAAACAATTTCAGATTAGCAAGTAAATATAATAGAAATTTTAAAATAAATTGTATATACAGTGAAAGCTCTCTTAAACTGACACCAACGAGTCCAACAATTCTCTTTGTGGAATCGTCCGTCTGTTCTCTTGCTCCACACAAACCTCAATCTCATCGACCTTTGGACGCACCTCATTACAGTAGCCAGGTTTGTCCGCTTTGTCACAGTTTGATTTCAATTTAAATTCCGTCTATCGCTAATACAATTCAATCCAACTCTAATTTCATCCTCAGTCAACTATTATCCTAACCAAAATACATGGGTTACTCTTTTCATATTATCTGCTTTCAAGGTCCTTGTGCGCTATCACAACAACAACAGCAATTCTATCCATTGAGCCGCATAGACAGTTAAACAGCGTTGAGTGCATGCCATGCAGGATTTAATTTGAGATCCATGTTTTTATGGTGTTAATTATAAGACCCAAAGCGGTTAAAAACGTTTAAGACAACATTACTTTTCTTTCGCTCTCAGTTTTTCCGCTCTTAGAATAATGTTTATACATTCCGCTCACGCTTCAACACTTCTATCTGTTTAGAGAGTAAGAAAGAGAACTGCGTATTTGAAAGATCGTACGTTGTGTGAAAAATGAATACCGGTGTTTAAAGACCATCAATTCGCTCTTAGGTATTTCTCCGAAATCTTTTCAACCATATATAAGCACGTATTTAATGTTAGCCTAATTAATGTGGAAGTTGTGAACACTACATATATATAATTATATATACAATACATATAGTCAAATTTTCATAACTCAAACTAAATAGAGTGCAACAGGGTTTAGAGAGCAAATTACATACAATTACAAAAAGGTTTCCATAAATCGAACTTTTTCTTTGAAAAAGTGGTACTTCGAGTTATGGAAGTGTGACTGTATATATAAAACCAGAATTAAGAAAAATTTGGTTAAATATAAGGTCGACAACATAAAAAGTAAAATTAGCACTAGTTTTTCGAATCTTTCACATCCTACACTACACAGTTGGTTTTATTATATATTAATTACCTACTATTTATTTACTAAATTTTATAATTTGCTTTCTAATGTAAATTTAATCCAATGAAATTTATAAATATAAGCTAATTATTAGCAACTATTTTGTATAAGCACTATATAGTTTAAGCAATAAATCCAGCAATTTCATTCGATCGGCTGTCACCGCATGTCACACATCTACACTACTTCAACCACCAAATTTAAAATTATTAAAATTAATTAGTGAAGAGTACAACTAGCAGTTTTTTTAGCGCACGATATATGGATAACCAAGGCTACGTTGATCATTAAAGACTTACCTCTCCATAATATTTGTTGTCTGCTGCAAGTGTCGTCTTAAATACATGGAAAATTATCGCAATGGAGAAAAGAAAGTTATTAATCATTGCCAGTCTACAATCTACAGGCGTCGATTCTCAACAGTTGGATAGTTGCAAAAAAAATGATCTCTCCATGATCTTCTAGTCCAACTTAAGTTAAAGTACAAACACGAGCTAAACAGTTGCAAAATGTCAGGAATTAATCCATATATTTCTGACATATCCTTACTGCAGTTCTGGAGCTCATGACTACTTACATTTATTCAAGTGCAGTGCAGCTTAGATAAATCTTAGCTCAATTGTTGTGTGGATCTTACTCATCCTGTTGAAAAGAATCCTGAATCTGGAGACAGATTTTCCGGGATTGAAAACAATTACTCCAACAATACATTTGAGAAGATTAAAGGCTAAGGCAATTAAAGAATTTGAGGGTGTAAAAACTAAACGACTTCCTATGGTTTTATGGATTCATTCAATACAAATGGTACTTTAAAACTAAAAACTAATCACGATGACATTTAAACTAGTAAACATCAAGAATCTCAAAAATATGCGATATTGTGAGGTTATGAACGGACTACTGGCGGTTAGAAACAAATGCTTGGGAAATAGGTATTCCTTTCGACGATTCTTGCCGCAACCGTAAGAAGTATGAAGAAAGTACCTCACATCTGTTTTGTTCTTGTACAGCTCAGCTAGACAACATTCTAGATTAAACATGCTATGGACCGACATTTTAGAGGATCTTCGTCAATTGTCTACCAAAAAAAAAATTAACCCTTGTCTTTTAAGAGTATGTTATTACAGAGGTTTTTTTTGGAAGTTGATAGGTTTAACGTATAGATAAATTTTTTTCGGATCAAAGAGGGACATGGCATTTTTTCTTAAGTTGGAATTTGGTCTTAGTCAGTCTTGGTTGCGTGCAGTATTATTCGCCAGTGACCTTTACGTTTCGCGCACTGACAACAGTCAAAAATATCAAACTGTGAGATAAAATTTCAACTTTCCATTTTAATGGAAATGTCAATTCTTCACGATTTTTAACAGATGGCGCTACTTCAAAGTTTTTTTTGGCTGAAATATCATTAGTCATTATAGATTTTATAATGAAATAATCAGAAAAAGTAAATAACGCAAGCATTTTTTTTTAAAAAATGGTCAGGAAATAATCGATGTGTCTTCAACTCTTTGGAAGAATTGAGAAAGAGAAGGTATTTAAAAATATCTTATCTTACTTTCTTTAATAACTTTATAGTTTTATATATTTAATTTAAGAGAGCATTTTTCCGGTTTAAAGTATTGGGGTTGTGTTCCCATTAGATTCTATATACAAATTATTGATTAATATCAACAACTTAAGCAATTGTTCATAAGCATATAGTCAAGGATTTGGAAGATATAATCAGCAGGTTCAAGAACTTATTAAATAAAATATGTGAAACTTAATTAATTATATTGTAAATCATTGTTAAACTAATTAGGATATAATGTCGTATATATATAACAAATTATATTCCGTAAATATTTTAAGGATGAGAAGCGCATATGTAAGCGTTTTTGAAAAAGAAATTGTTTCTAATCCATTTGGAACGATTAATGTGTAACTTGAAAAATTTAAAAAATAAGAAAACTACAGAAAATATTATAAAATATCATTAATACGTGATTTTCAAAATAAAGCAGTTTCTGAATATATAGATCCCCAAAGAAAAATATTATTTTATTATTTTTATTAACATATATTTTTCTGTGACTTTAGTTGGCTCTTTAGTTCTTATATTATCAAATTATACTATATGATAAATATGCTCGCAATATATAGAGAAATTCAACATTTAAAAAAATAATTAAAATAAACACTTTGTATCTTATTGACTCGTCGGATAGCGTTAAGACATTCGAAATGGTCAAGACACTTATATTACCGATGTAACATAAAATTCCGTATAGAATATGAGGCGTAACAGAAAAATATTTGTAAATTTTTTATGAGCGCGATGATAATAGAAACGGCATATATTTGTAATTTTAAATTACTATATATAAATAAAAATATATATATTAAATTAAACGATTTTATGTATTAAAATATGAGATAAAAAAAAAAACGATCAACAAAAATATTTGTAATTTTAATTCGAAAATAAAATGTGTGTATATGAAAAAATGTTTTTTATTTAATATATTTATTAACAAAAAAAAATTTATAATTATATATAATATAATTTTGAAACAAAAACGTTAATAAAAAAAAAATTCAAATTTATATATTTATTAAAATTTATATAACGATTTAATACAAAAATAATCCAAATATTTATTAATTAATATTTATTAATTAATTATTATTAATTAATTAATTAATTAATTATTATTAATTAATATATTAATTAATTAACATTAATTAATATTTATTAATTTATATAATAAATACATATATATATTTAATTAATAGTGCGAGACATTAAACATTTCTTGCCTAGAAGCATTGTAAAGCAGGGCTGTCCAGACCAGATGCGATAGCGGGTCAATACAACTCACTGTACAGATTGGAAGGCCGCAGAAACAAATACATACATACGTTCATAATCTTTTAGAGAAAAATAAAAATACGGTTCTAATGTTAAATTTATTGTTATTAATTTAATAATTTAAATTCATTTATTTGCTAAACCTATAAAAAAAAATATAGTGATTTAACCAGTACACCAAAAGAAAATTCGTGTGATTGTAGTAGATTAAAAAATAACTCCAAATATTAGTTTTAGTCAAACAGACATCGTTACAACTCCTACGTCACTTAACTAACGTAGAGTAGAACTAATATTTATGTCAAATAATTACCAATGATATAGTCCCCGTTGGAAGTGATGAGCGGCACTTGTTTGTCATAGCAAACGAATGACTCCGGGATATACACCGTATCACTTCTAGTATCAGGCGAATGCAGATCTGTGGATCTCAACTGCTAGCAATCGCATGTCACATCTTTACCATGTTCATGGAGAACTTACAATGTTTCTTGTAAGGGAGCACAATCAACTACTATCTAAGTAATATCAACTTATGTATCATATAGATGGACTTCGTCATGATAATATGATCAATAGAGCCTCCCTCCATAAAGCATCGATCGATTTCTTTCTTCGTATCATAAAAACGTTGACGCCTATTGCAAAGGAGCCAATATCATTAAAATAGAATACAAACATGAATTAACTGTTTTACGCACAGATGCAGTATCGTTTAAGAGACCACGATTGCAGAACAATAAAATTCTAAACACGTCTCTGTCTGATATCTTCAGGACAGAACTAATCATTCCTTATGAAGCAAGAACTATTCTAGCTTAATAAAGCTCATGGTATAGCTATAAGAGTGATATGTCAAGCATAAGTACGTAAAAATATGTGTGGCAACTGCAGCTCTATTCTCCATATTTTTGTGGATCTCTTATCATGTCCTTATACAAACATCGAATTGAGCTCTAATGAACTATTGTAGTGTCAAAATTTTCCGTCTCGATTGAAGCTAGTTTTAATTAAATTTCAAAAACAACTCATTCATTCCTTATCCAAAAAAGAAACACTCATTTTCTCACTTACCCCCTACGTAATCAATATCCTAACCCATGTATTCGTATATTGTAATTCCTCATGTTTTGTAATGGCTCCCGCAATAATGTGTAGTGCCTATAGACTTTTCTAACCTATAAAGCTGCAAATATGTTTGCAAATACTGATTCTATAGTTTCTATAAACTGGAGCTATACTGTAGCATTAGTTGGTCCATAGACTGATTAACTATTGTTTAAAAATCGAAAGACATCGCTACTGGCGCGACACTCCAATTAATCGGTAGAATATGAGGTGATTTTTTATTTGATTTAGATGGATGGTCTTTCCTAGTAGTGCAGAGATTACATTGCTAACATGATACGTGATGAGCAATTTTGAAATACATTACCATCTCGAAAAAGGTTCTATCTGCGATAAAAAACTGACGTTTCGGCCTAGAAGAGGATTAAAGTTCTAGTGATATTCTCTATGATTGTTAAGTTGTGGTCCGGGTTAGAAAGAGAATTCTGGTGCGGGAACTTCTATCCTCATCTGACATTATGAATACACTATGACCTTCATTCCAAGGACGGAATGCTTTATGTTTAGTTAGAATCATTTGTTATAAAATAGATTAACTTATCAGCCTGAAAGTGGATTAAAATATTAGGTACATTCTTTGTGATTTTTTAAGTTTGATGTGGAGTAGAAGGTAGTTACTGGTGTATGAGCTTCTGTTCTCTTCTAATATTGGAAAGACATTATGACCTTCATTGCAAGGACTGAATACATTATTTCTAGTTAGGGTCAATTGTAATACAAAGGATCTTCTAAACTAGTTTAAGCCACAGTTGTTAATTGTGATACAAACGATCTTCTAAGATAGTTTAAGCCACATTTGGTAATTATAATACAAAAGATCATCTTAGATTATCTAAGCCACAATTGTTAATTGTGATACTAAAGATCTAATTTATCTAATTTAAATAAGTTACAATAAAAAGATAAATTCACATTTAGTAATAACCACTGAGAAAGATAAAACAGATGATAATTTAATAAATCAATTTCTATGAAATCTATTATAAGTAATAAAAAATTTTAAAAGCGACTTTAGATAAAATAGTGTCAACGTATCATCCACCCCTTTCAATTAAAAAATGCACTTAATGGTCATATTTAACTTTAAATAAATATATAATGGACACTTCCTTAATTCAGCAATAACCCATGACATCTGATTTCCAGACTACTACAAGTCATATAACTTTACTAGTTTCTTCTTCTTCCTAGCATCCGTTTCCCCTAGTGAAGCATAGGGCCGTAACGATTCTCTTAGGTATTTCTCTGCATATATCGTTCCATGTGTAGTGTGTTTCTGTTATTTCTCTTTCAATTGTCCTTCTCCAAGTTGAAGCTGGTGCACCAGGGCGTCTGCTGCCTTGTAGTTCCATGTCAAAGCTTGTAGTGAAATGTATTTATTTGGTCGTCGGATAGTATATCCAATCCATTTTTTTGATTTGTTTGTACCAAAAGATCTGCATTTGATATGTGGCTTGAAACTTCACTAGTTAAGTTGTATCAAATCAAGGCCTCCAATCTATATATTTTTTATACTTCTCTGATACAAAAAATAAAATCTCAAATAACTTTTTTATCTCAAAAATGTTAACAAATTAAATATATACATTTATTTAAAAATTTAGAAGTTGTAATTCAGATGCTTTAACTTATCTTATTTATAAATTTCTTATTTGTTCAAAATAAATAAAATATTATACTTCATAACAATTAATAGTTTATTAAAAGATTTTAAAATTATGTATAAAGCTAACACTTAAAAGAAAAATTCAAAAGATTTAATTATAATATAAATACATATGTCTAAATACTAACGTTGATCTTTATTGGCTATGTAACAGTTTAGTGAAATCGGCGTATGCTGATTCCAGATCGAAGAGAAACTGTCTTACTTGTGCCTCTGATAATTCATCCGAAGCCTGCATTTCATTTAAAGTACTCAACCATGTCTCAACTTTCTGTTTGGCATCAAAGTCTTTGGGTATGAGCGAAAGGCGATTCATATTATCAACCAAGTCCTTAACATCAAAATGCAAAGCATCCATTGTGTTCATTTTCAGACGTAACTTATCCATAATTGTGATGAAAAGTGATACGATTTCTGCAATACATTTCGATGTGTTACCCTTGTCATCGCGTATCGTTATGGGACGGTCTTCTCGTATGCGTTCCAAAGCAGCTGGACAATCAAGTCGGAATTTCTTCACAAATGTGTCAACTGTTGGGAACTCATCACATTGTACTTGTTTAAAGGCTACTTTATACTGCACTAAATACTTCGAACAAGCTGCTGTGTATTCTTGAGGCGTGATACAATCACGAAAATACGCCTTCTCCAATTGTTGCAAAGTATTAATTATCGCATATAAATCTGCCATATTATCATATTTCTCACGTTCTCTAGCATTTCGGAAAAGTTTCACCTCTTCATATAAATCCGGATTATCTTGCATCTCTTATTTCGTAATATTTATCAAGTATTATTAAAAAAATGTTTTTTCCTAATTTTTTATACAAAGAACAGATTTTGCTTGAATGACGAATAATGCAAAAAAAAAATTGACAACAAAGTTATATTTTAGTGTTGCCAACTATTTCCATATTGTATTATAAATTGTTCGGATTTTTATAAAAAAATTTTAATAACCGTTTGTAAAATGTGATATTCTGTTTAAATTTAAAAAGACATAATCATGAAAAAAAATTTTATGTTTTTATTATTAAATGCCATTGTAATAAGATTTATTATTAAAATATAGACTAATAATAATGGGGTTATCTAAGTTGCGTTCTAAATGAGGGAAATTCTAAGTTGTGCCGATAATGTAGTGATGTGTCGATACGTGTTGATAAATGGCTATATGTGTGCAGTGCAAAAAATCTCCCATTTGGTTTAGCATCAACTTAGCCTAACTCGCACACGTCCTAAATATGTAATTAATATGCCTGTTGCACGAGCTACTCATAGTAACATAAATGAAGTGCCAAATTACGCTCTTTATACAGATTTTCTTGGAACAGTTTTGTGTGAAATCTGGTGAGAGCACCAGTGCCACGCAAATAAACAACATAAAAATTTTAATTCAAACCAAAACAGCTGGATTGTGTAGCATTTTCAAATTTCAACAGGGATGTTATACTCTTTCAGATGTTCTCATTTACTCGAAAATTTCCTAGTGGAACACAGTTGTGTATACACAGTGTTACTCAAAGTTACTACGAGTAGCTCGTGAAACAGACCTATTATAAAAAAATTAATAATTACATCATAAAAGATCAACTATGGTTGCGGTGCCAGTACCTTGTTTATTTCTATTCTAATTAATAATTAAATTAATTTCTAATTATAATTGCTGCAATTGATTTTTATTTACTGACTTCACTATTATAATTTATTCTCCTTATAATTTAATATTTACTGCTATAAATTATTATATATTAAAATATAGAACACTAAATGAAGATTGGACTTACAGAAAATTACAAACCAAAATTTAAAATTATTTTAATACAGTTCTGAATAAAGCATTAATCTTAGTTACTATAAAAGAGTTTTTATGATTTAGTAAACGTTGATGAATTTATAATGGAACATCCAAAAAATTATGGTATTATAATATGAATTCAAGTATTTTTTCGACATTCAGGCGAGTATTATTTTGCTCTTGGATATAGTGGTCTAACATCCATAACTATTAAAATCATAACCATCTGAGAAAAATTAACTGGGTTAGAGCAGAAGCATGGATTTTCAAAACAAACAGAAACTAACAGTATTTCAACAGAGTTATAAATATTTGAACGAGTTAAATAAGGCTATTTTGAATAAATCGTCTTTTGCATAAAAAAAATGATATCACAATGAATATAATCTTTTTCATGAGATGATCTATTTTACAGTAGTTTACACTATCGATATAACCTCCTGCTCTAGATCACGTGAGTTTAAATTTATTATATCAAACGGCTTAGACTCTTTAATCATCTAGCAATGTTCTCAAAGTTTCATCATTGGCATGCAGTTCCATAAGTGATTTGGTTCTCCTTGTTATTACTTTTTATTTGAATGACTAATGGAATCTTGAGGTCCTTTTATGTCTGCCTCTAACGTGCCTATAAGCTTTACCCACTTCTTTCAATACTTTATTTCTAAATCAATGTATATATTATATTTTTGGTAGTCTGACTAGTGCATTCCCAGAGTGAAGCTACGTGACACTATGCAGATTTAAAAAGTTGTTTATTGATAATTAACTTGATGTGTTGGCGTATAAAACTATGTAGAGAGGTATAAATGTGATAATTAAATAAACTATGCAGATTATATACACGTACCATGGGAGTAGTCACTAAAGGTACATGAAGAGGTATTCCATCTCTGAAAGTGTGACCAAAGTATTATTTCATAATAAAATTAATAGTATTATTAATTTGATAATACCCATATTTCAATATTTTATAATGAAAAAAAACGCCAATGAGATTTTGACCCTCCCTAAATATGATTTATCGATAACGAAAGTATGTTTACTAAAACCAGTGAGTTTACGGAAAATTGCGGTTTGGCCTAGCTAAGAGTAAACTTTACGCTCGGGATCATAAATGCCAGTATTGTAGAGCGGAATAGTAGAAGGAAAAGCAAGAGTCTTCTTTAAAATAGTAGGCGAAGAATTGGGGGAGAGGGGCTTGTGTCTCATAGATTCAAACAGCATTATTGGGAAAAATAATGCTTGTAAAGTAATAACTTGTAAGATATCGCCTAGTTAGTGAAAGAAGGTATTCCTCTATGCGAGTGACCTTAGCAGAGTTGGGATAGTTTATGCTACATGAAAGAAGAATTCTTCTTTCAAGGACTCAGTAAATTTGCTTGAAGGTTTCGCTACACGCACATGAAACAAAATCATGTTAAAGTAAAGGTTAGGTTTCTGCATAAGATAAACTACATTACTGCAAATATAAGCTATGTACAGTTATGGTAAGGTATCCTTCTTCAGCAGAAAAAGGATGAGGTTGCTGGTGGAATATTTAACGGGTCACCATGGACTGCGTTATTACCTTAACAATATGGGTCTGTCCGAAGAGATAGATTGTCGACTCTGCTTAGAAACAAACGAGACTTCCAGTCACATTCTCTGTGAACTACTCTCCTTTTCTGTCATTAATGAGGTTCTCAACGGCCGATATTCTAGCTTTCATTCGGAATGCGGAATGTCTTTTGTTCGGTTGGGGTGTGTTGTAGCACAAAAGATCAACCATAGTCACAGTGCTCGGCTCCGTTGGGAGCTATTACCCTGTCGATTCCTATTCCTACTGCAAATATATAGACATCTGTTTCATACGGTTGCGGATTTGCAGATTATCTTATTCGTATAAGATGAAAAGTAAAAGTAAGTAGCGTTATTCCCACAAATCGCTTTCCACAAGTCGCATCTCACTTCAGAGTGGTATTCATAGGTGTATATTCATATGTTGATCCTTTTTTTTTCGAGTCAGCGCAACTGGGCACTTTTCTCTTTGATAGATGGGGGTACTACAGGGTCCCACCCATCTCATTGACTAATTTGTATACCTCTCATAAGCTTCATAATTATTCAGTGATTGATCTAAGATCTGCCTACCTCTCCGAGTGGAGACTGATTACGCTAAGATTAGTAGGATTAGTAGATTAGTAGGTAAGTAGGATAGCCTGTTAATTTTCGCATATAACTTCAGGGCTCTGTCCCTTATGTAAGTTGAGTAATTCACACACATCACTTTCTACGTGTATAGTATATTACTTCTTATATTTATTGCATTATACTATTACACTTATTGTACTTATTATTATATATTATACTTATTTAATACTTTATTATTATTATTATTACTTATTAGTATATTACTAGAAGTGATTAGAGTACTGGTATAAATACTTTTTATTATTAATGATATGGCGGGCAAGCAAATGTTCTTCTATTAATGGTAAACTAATAATATATTTTATTAAATTAACATAAGTCTTATTATCATAATCTATTGCATTAGTATTTAGTATTTTAAGTGTGAAATATTTACTGATAATGTCTACTATAGATTGTCGATACAAGTATTTATCCCAAGTACGAGTATTTCCCTATTATCAATTAATGATAAGCCAATCGCATTAAGCTCATTGATATCAATATTTTCATTAATATAATTATTAATACAAAATAATCATTAAACGAACATCTTATCAAACAATTTAATAAAGTTTATAATATTACTTTAGGACTAAAGCTAATATTGGCAGCGCTTGTGGGAAAATGTTATTGCCGTCATAAAAGAAGTAGCAGTTCACTTTCGATTCTAATAAAACTCGTTTCTATACAAATAAAATAAAAAACGCATCATATCTTATTGTATTGTATTTGTTAATAAACAAATATTCATTTTGGCAATATTTTTCAAGAACAGAATCACAACTGCCTCAGTTGGAAGAAAACATGTGAACTGAACTTTGTTGTGCATCGTCAGCGTCGAAACGTGACTTACCGTAAAAAAGTGTTAATTGTTATAAAAAATATTTATTAAAAAATATTCCAAATGGGAAAATTTTATAGTTTTTTCACCACTTACAATAATTTATAGTGAATTTAAAAAATTTGTTTAATATTTGTTGATAACATTTTTTTGTGTTTTGTTGACTATCAAAGTTCAAACGTTAAAAATATTATTTAATTTTTGCTCAAATAATTAGTTCGAGTGGTTATAGTAAAGCAGCAGCTTAAATATTTCTTTATAAAATAAAATAAAAAACAAAAAATATAAATATATTTTAAAACATAATTTAAATTAAGAAAAATAAACAAAACAAAAAATATTGATTTTTATACAAAATCATTGAAAAATTATTAACAAATTGTTCTTAACAAAAACTATTACTAACTTACTTACTGTTGTCCTTCTCTCCTAAGTGAAGCATAGGGCCTCAGTGATACCTTTCGTGATTTGGTTCCAGGCATACTGTACGTCTTTAAGAACAAAAACTATTAAAACAAAATCACTTATTTCTGTTTAAATATAAATTAATTAATAATTTCAAATTATTTAAAAGAATTATTATTCTCATAAAATTTGTAAAACTATAGCTATATAGTTAATTATACTACAGTTAATTATCAAATTCTCAAAATGGTGCAGGAGAAAGCTGAAAACACGGTAAGTTTAAAAAAAATAATAACTACTAATAATATAATCGAAAATATTATGTGTCTCGATATATAACAATTTTTAAAAAAAATTGTAAATAATCTATTAATTTTATATGTATATACATGTTCATGTTTGCAAATGATATAGTGTGTTTAAATACATAACTATTATTAAATAATTTTTAAATAATTTAATATATTTACATATACCATAAATGTTCACGTTGTATATAATAAATATTATATAAATATTTTCAAGAGTCTTCAACACTAAACATCTTTTTTTTTTAAATTAATATTTTATTAATTTTAAAATATTAATTAAGTAATTTTAATAATAATTTCGTAAGTATCACTGATTAAATTAAATCATAATAGCTGCTGAATTGTTTCTGTTTAATATATATATATTTAGGTGTTTATTAATTAATTTTAACAGTGTAAATTATTTAAACTTTTTCCAAGATATAAAAAAAAATTTATTCTATTTAATATGCTTTTTATTATTGATAAAATAAATAATTGCATGAAATAATTATAATATGTTATTTTAAATAAATAACAATAATAAATAACAATAATGCATGAAATAATTATAATATGTTATTTTAAATAAATAACAATAATAAATAAAAATAATATTTTAATAAATAAGTAAAATAAATATTTTACTGCCAAAAATTTAATTAATTACCATGGAAAGGATTAAAAAAAATATAAAATAAAATAAAATAAATTAAAATAAAATAAAATAAAATAAAATAAAATAAAATAAAATAAATAAAATAAAATAGAAAGCATATATAATAATAAAACATTTAATAAGACAGTAATTGAAAACACAAATTGTTGTTTTTAAATAATGTTTTTAATAAAAATAATTTATAATAATTCAATTATTTTTGACAGTCATCTGTGGGAATGGTCATAAAAATGAATAATAAATTAAACGTTAAAAACGAAATGTTTCTTAATTTTTAATTAACTCAAACCAACAAAAACCGCTTATTATTATACTTTTTTTTTTCAAACGCTAAAAAAACTATTTTTATTTTTGTTTGAACCAGTTTTAGGTGGTATACATATTTTAATAAAATAAATTAATTAAAATGTTTAGCTTTGCGGTTTTGTAAATCAGTTTAAGTTAACACTGTTTCTTCTTGTGCTATACCCCTTGCATCCCATATTTCATCAGACTGCTCAATAATCATATCAATATATCATGTCATACAGTTATCACTAAATCGAGCAGTAAGTCAATACATACTTAACTACACAATGAGATTCATCGACTATTTTAAGTTAAACAGATTTTTTAAAGATATAAATTTTAAAGGTGTCATGAAAATATAAGACCCTTAAAAGATACAAGACTTGAAATTCAATTTCAAAAGCCATTGGAATGGCTTTCGTGAATTATTTCTTAATTTTTTTTATAAACTTTAAAAGAAATTAAACTTTAAAATTAATTAACTTTAAAAGAAATTATAAACTTTAAAAGAAATTAACGAAAGGCATTCTCATTAGGATTATAAGGAGACTTTGTTCATAATTACAATAGAAAAGTTCATACTTATTTTAAGAAGTTGCTGTGGAGTGGAGACTTAAGCTCCGTACAAATCTCCACTCCACAACAGCTTCTTCAGAAAATTTAAATTTTCGAAGTTATTAAAAATTAATTATTTTTATTTACAAGTTAATTAGTGGAATACTTTTTAAATGCGCATTTGTGAGAAAAAAAAAACAATGTATTCTTGAAGAATAAATTTAATTATATAGTACAATTAAAGAGTGTCTGTATAAAAAAAAATTAATTGTATGAAATCAAAAAACCATAAAGCTTTATGTATAATAACAATAAAGTAATTATTTTTATGCAAATACCACAAAGCAAAAATTTCAGGTTGTGGCACATTTTTTTTTTATTTAAAAACTTGTTAAAAAATTCATAATTTTTCAATCTATAAAAACAATTAAAAAATATTGAAATGTAAAACAATTATGATTTACTTAGCTGATCTGTGACACAGTTAAGCGGGAATGAAAAGAAATATTATAAATATTAATTTTATTGTATATTCATTTATTATGTATTATTTAGAGTAAAACCAAAAAACCATTAAAAATTAAACCAACAGTTTAAACAGTTAAATACACAAGTATTATTGATTAATAAGAACTGTAATTTTTTTTAATAAATCGAGCCAACACTTTAAAATATTGTTTTACAATCTTCAACATACTTGAGTGATCTCACAATATTGATTTTATTTATATAATTTTACTATTTGTAGGATAAAAAAAGCAGAAGTTAAGAATTGACTTAAACAATTTAATATTTTTTATCTTAATTCGTTTGAAAAATGTGTTATTAGGAATAAACTCCTACAAAACAACGAATAAAAATAATAACCTGATGTATTATCTGTATATAATAGATTTATTCTCACTAAAACCATCTCTAAGGAATGCAAAATGGACAAATTCCAACTATAGGCCCGTTTAGGTCAAAAGCTGAAACCATTTTCCAGTGATCAAGGGAAAGGCAGACTAGGGACACAGAAGGCTTAGTATTTAGACAACAAATATATTCATATAAATAAGGGGAAGAGGGAAGATGTTCTTGTTAGTAATTACTGATTAAGAGTAAACTCTATGCAAAGAGTTGTTGTTAACACGATCGTAGAAATGGAGATTATAGGAGAAACGCGATCGTCCTGATAAAAAGCCAGAAATTGTGGAGACTTATAACTTATATTAATAAATTATATCTACTTTAGTACTTATAAAAATAAAAAGTATGAGAAGCGGGCATATAACGAAATATTGTACTTATAATACGAAATACGTAACTACGAAATAAGTAGTTAGCTCAATTGCTAGAAATGTTCGGGTACATTTCGGGTCATTAACAATTAGTACAAAAAGTAGCACAAAGTAGTTATTTTTAAAAATGTGTTAGTGAATTCAATTAAATAAAATCAAATTTGTTAAAACCCATAAAACCTAGCGCATCTAATTTTAAAGCAGAGTTTTAGAATCGCGATTTATATTATTGTGAACTGTCAGTTGAACCCTACATAATACAACAAACTGTCATTGGTGCAATCAACTGCTAAAGAGAGTTGGCAAATCCACTCATATTCAACTGTTCAAACGCAACTTAAGCTTTTTAAATTATTTTAGAATTTATTTAATAAAGGATTGAAATTTTAATATAATTACTCTTGTTTTGAAGATTTTTTTATTTAAGTGAATAATTTTTCATAATATTAGAAAAAAATGTATAAAAATTGATACAATAGATAAACATAATGTAGTTCATTAAATTAAATGTAAATAAAAAAATTGTGTAAGATAATAATAACGTGATCAGTTATCAATTTTTAATAATTTCTAACTACAAAAAAAAAATGTGTTTGTGCAGTAAACAAATAATTTTTATTTACATACATAAGTTTATCAAGTTTTAACAAGTTTTATTATCACTGCTTTGGTTTAATTTTTTTAATATTTACAAATATTAATTAAAAGTACATATTGTGGTTTTTTAATGTTTTACATTTGCAAAAATTAGTAAAATTTAAACCGTCGGATGTATATTAAATTAAAATCTAAGAGTTGTTAAGCGGGCCACAAAGGCAGATGCTCGCTTAAGGGCTAATCGTAACTTAAGTGTAACTGCTGACTTAAGTCATGCGTAAATCATCAATTTTGCTGGCTTAATACATAGTAACGTCAGTTTTGCGACTTAATTTACAACTGTAAAATGGGTTTAAGTTTCTAAAAATTTACAGTATTACATTCCTAATAATAAGGTATATAATTCTGGTTTATTTTAATAATTTTTCAGCTTTAATTTTTTATAAAAGAAACTGTCCTGGAAAAGTGAAAAATATATATTTCTATACATTCAATAATCAGTTATAAAAGTATAGAAAAGTAAATGAATGTCGATCGTTCAAATAAATTTGAGAAAATTATAGAAATAAGTAGATAGCAATATTGTTCTAAATTAAATTTTAAGTTTACTACAACTTAATATTTTACAAAAAAAAATTCTGAATAAGTGAAAGGGATTTATGCATGATCACCCATTGCTAGTATGAAGAGTTTTAATAAATATTATAAATTCTAAGTTAGATAATCAATCCAATGGGCAAATAGGTTTAAGTGGATTCTTTGAATCGCTAGTATGACCTGACTTAGATAATCGTCTGATCTAGTCTTTAAAATAAGTGAACCAAAGCAATCGAATATCTAACCTAACTGTACCTATATAAAATTAATCTTTCTTTAACAAAAACATATTTAGTGTAATTTTTATTAAAAAATCATATTGTTATCGACAGCTTAAAGTTTCTACATAAGTTTTTCATTTATTTCGTTGGAACCTGCTTGCGTAGTCCCTTTGGGAGGTGTTGGACGGAGCTTGCTCATCGAGTGATTCCGGGACGTAAACCCGTTCTTTCTTGAAAGCTGTATTTGTTCAACGTTGGAATAGTGGCCTCTAAACTTGTCACTGTTCCATGTTATACTAATGTTACTCTAATATCAAAATCTTTATTAAAACAAAAAAATGTTTACTAAAATAAAGTTAGAAATTAACATGACAGCCACGAAGGCTATCCGAACTCTTTGCAGTCTAACATAAGTACAGATTTAATGCATAATATGTTAAGCAACATTATGGCTAGATTTTACCGTTTATAACATATTAAACCAATTTTGATAGCTACAAAAATTATCTATATAATTTGTCAAATGAGTTGCATTTAATATATATAGCAACTTAAATTTCACAATCTGTAGTTTCGTTAAAGAAAAAGCTTTCTTATATCAAAAAATCTCAACTTAGTTAAGAAAAACAAAATTCTTTTAACTTAGTCTTTTCTTTATAACATGCAGACATTTGTCCTTTTATTAAAACTTAAATATTATTTTATCAAACAGTATTAACGTATAATATATCATATATCTCTTTTAATATAAAATACATATATTCCAATAAAATTTTTATAAACTAATTTATTAAAACATAAGAGAGATATATATTGACAATTTTATATGTAAACATAGAATGTTGGCATGGTTTAAATTCTTTAAGACGCTTATATAAAAAGCAATATATTTTTGAGTTTAAATTTAATTTTAATACAAATTATAATATACATATATCTAATTGGCTCAGTAAATAACTGTTTGGTCAACCAGTTTATAAGCTTGGCCTGAAAAACTTTTTGGCGGATAAACGACAAACAGGCACAATTGTAATATTGATAGCATACAACCAAGAAAATTGGGAATCTATAAAGAAATTTTGATTAATAACAAATAATTATAGTATTTTATATAATTATAGTATTTTATATAATTATAGTATTTTATATAATTATAGTATAACAATAATATATACTTGTATAAATGAATCCGATATAATAACGCCATATATCAGCCACTGAAGGGAAACTAAAAATGACATTGATATTAGTGGAAAAGGCAAACTCTCTGAGTTTTTAACTCGTATCACGTGCATTAACATAGTTAATGGAGCCGCGAAGAATCCCACAGTTACAATGCAACACACTATACCTAAAATATACAAACATATTTAATAGTTAAAGCAATTTTTTAATGAATCTCACAAACCCATTATTTTTACAGCCTTATCATTATCTGTTTCCTGATTTGTATATAATATAACAGCTAATAAAATGAGCAGTACTGCAGAGAATTGTTTTAGGTACGGTTTTTTATTGACGGTGAATATATAGTATAAAACCGCATACATAAAGAACAGCATAGCGCCAATTATGTTGACAAAAGCAATAGTCTGCTCATTAGTAAAGCAGCCATAGCGTAACCAGAGACTACAGCTAATTAAAAAAATATGTACATACATTTAAATTAAATTAAAAATTGTTAAAATTGTTATTCTAAGTGTTTTTTTTTCACAAGACTTACGATAAAAAGCCACATATGAACGGAAAGCCAGAAGAGTCGCCCGTGCTTTTCTTTTGCATATATTTGTGACATACTATGCTGTTTAATTAGTTAAAAAGTAATTATTAGATAAAAGCGTGCATACTTAAGATTACTCACGCTCCTGATAAGTATTGAAAAACCGTTGTAATTACCGCTGTCGTCTCTAACAGCGATACCAAGTTTGGAATTTGCATGTTTTTTTTTTTAAATTAAAAAATTTTTTTTTTTTATTTTAATACAAATTACATGAAAAAATTTAATAAACATATAAGATAATTGTTAATTAGTTAAGCAAAATGCTATACATTTTATTTGTTAGTTCAAACTAAGCACTAAAACCGAAAACAAATATCAGCAGCCAACTCGACGACAGCTTTGACAACTTTCATTCTCGCAGAAACTTGAAATAAAAACAAAAATTCGGAGGAACACGTAAACAAATAACAGGGTTGCCGTGTGCTTAAATTTAAGTAAAAACAGTACGTAACGATTGAATCGTTAACGATTCAAATCGCTATTTCCATTTTTACCATTTAAATAAAATTATTGAAAAAATATTTATATTTTTTATCGTATTTTTTTTTTTATAAAAATAGAAATATCATTAATTAATTCAATTATTCTACAGCTGGTTTTGATTTCGTTCTAATATAAACACAGCAAGTAAAATTGTTAATAAAAATATTCATAGCAAAAGTAACAAAACTCCAAAAAAATATGCGAACATAAAAAGTCAAGTACGGCTTTGGATCAGTTGGTTAAGGTGCGCTGATTTTGAGCTTTAAATTTGGCAGGACATGAATTCGATTACTTACGAATAATTAAATACAAGAATTATTTCCAAGACCACTGATGATGGGTATTTGGCAATACTCGAAACAGCTGTATGGTCAGCCAAAAATTCAATTAATTAAAATAACATAAAATGAATTTTTGTTGTTGTAGTTCACTACTGTTCGAAAAACCTCCTTAATTTATTTGCTGCTTGAAAAAAAATCATTTATAAGTAATCAATTACTGAGTTTATACGTGGAAGATAATTACGATTTTCAAGCAAAAGTTTTCAGCTTATAAAAAATTAATGTAATTATCTTATAATGATTTTCATTGGGAAATGTAGATTTTTGCAGGAAATCTATATTTTTGGTAATTTTATTTTTAATTTTTGAGTTGTTGAGTCAAAATTATTTTTAAATCTGTTTTATTTTTTTAAGAATATTATGTTTTATATCGATTTAATTTTTAGTATATTTCTGTACGTATTTCGGCAAATTTCGCTTTTGCCTTCAACAGGAGAATTCCTAATATTAGGAATACTAGAATATTACGATTGATAGGATTTATCTAACAATAACACACAGTAACGTATAAATTATAGTCATCTGACGCCGGCAATTAAATGATAATCAGATTATTGTTACTTTAAATTTTCTAATTTACATCGAAAACAAGCAAAAATATAGTGATTAATGATTATTTTAAACCTCGTAACACATCGAATGGATGCTTTAATCTCATGAATTTAAATCACTTTATATTCTAGTCGGAGACTAAAAGATCCACTCACAGAATAAAGTAGAGATTCTGAATAATACTAACTCAAACAAATCATCCATAATTCACATTATTTTTTTTAGCAAATAAAGTTTATTGCATAAAGGTGTATGATAGGCCCATGATCTCAAAGTTTTCAGTGCTATGGCTATTCTTATATCTAAAGATATTCAATCTCGGAATGTTATTGGTAAGGCATATTATTTTTTTTCATGAGTAAACTTTACGAACACTGTTATAAAAGCTTATTTTCAGCAAAAATTTATTTCATTGGCATAAGTTGATTTATGCATGTGAAAAAGCTTTTTCGTGTCAAAATATTATGTAAAAGCTCTGGAAGAGCTTTTGTTTGTTTACATTTTAATTGTTAACAGAAAATATTTAGTTTTGTATTGTTAGCAGAGATTAATTAATTAATTAATTAATATTTATAAAAATCAAACATTTCAAAAAATATTTGTTTCTTGTTTGTTAATATTTTGTTTCATGTGTTGAATGTGTCAACTTTTGATAATTTCCTTCTTGGGAAATATATTTTGCACGGTTACAAAACCACAAAAGCTCTTTGTATGGTTAATCAAATTTCATTAGCGGCCTAAATGAAATAGACTATTTTAACAATTGCAATGGGAACATACTTTAAATAGTGTCGTGTAATAATATTAATCTACTTAATCTAGTTTCATTAATCAAGCAATGTAAATGTGCTAAAACTGTGTAAATAAATATAATTCATTCTTCGATATATTCTTACATTCATTTATTCACAACATTCACGGCATGCAATTATCATATAGTCACATATTGGCATTGATTTCCTAGTGGGTAAAACAAAGCAAGATTTTTTTGGAGAGCTTTACATGTGATTTCTATAGCAATTATGCGAGAGAGATTTAACAACTTCTCACTCTCATGCAAGACCGCTGAATAAGTGTAAAATCGTGTAAGGTAAGCTTTAAAATAACTTACAGTTTTTAATTGGTCTTTCGCTAAACGAGTCAGTTTTTTTAGATTCTTTCTTTCTTTGATTTTTTTTTGATAATTCTTGATAATAAACAAAGAGAAAATAATGTATTTAATTATAAGAATAAATTAAAATACAAAACTATACAAAATTCAATGTATATAAATTGCTCCCGTGTATACTGGCTGCGAGCCTATATAAATGCAACCATGCGCTTTAAAATAAAGTAAACAAAAAAACAATAACAGCTGTTGCTCTTCGGAAGGGGAAAGCAAATTGAAGAGAAAAATATTTTGAAAATTGGAATTTATTCTCTTGCTTCTTGTTCATTTGGGTTTTGACTTTTGCCGTTGGATAATTGTTGTTGGTTGGTTGGTAAATAAATGTTATTTGCTTTTATGGAGGATAAATAAGGACTCCACGTGTTGTGTTCGGCTTTTTAGTAAACAAAAAATATGTATATATGTTTTTTCAATAAAAACATATGGAATTAAATTATTTTGTAAAAACTGTGCAAATGTGCTTAACAAGAAGTGATTGATGTGAACGTCGCGCTATAATGTATGCAAGATAATATATATATATATATATGTATATAATTATTATTTTTTTTTTATACATAAATGCGTTTATGTAAATTAATTAACGAAAAACTGTGATAATTGCACAATATTAATAAGAAATAAAATAAAAAAAAATATAATTTAAAATTAATTTCCTTTGTTCCAAAGTGATTTTAATTTGCTTTTAATATAAAAATAAACTTCCGCAAATAGTGTAAGAAATTTTTATTTTAAAATTATGGAAAATGAGAAAAATGCACTTTATGCACGAACCACAGTGGAAATATCAAATAACGTCAATGCTGATTTAATTAAAAAGCCACGCCAGACGGAACTCAACCAGGTGCGTCCAAAGTCAATTCTTTACACAATATCTTCACGCTTTACACGCTTGACACATAATACTTTCTAATTTCTTAAGAACACAATTACTTTCTTTATTCTGCTCTATTCTGAAAGCATAAATATTTAATATTTATTTATACTAACCCACATATTTTATTATTTATTTATTTGTTTATTAATTTCTTAAATATATGTAATAATTCAAATAATGTTTATACGCACCGTCATGCATTTTTTTTTGCTCCAATGAGTGAATTTAATGTCATTAACCTCAACTGTTTATAAATAATACATAAAAATACAAAATATTGATTTTTGTTATTATAAGAAACTTCATAATTTAGCATTGTTTATTACAATTTGATATACTCTAAAAGAAACACGTAATAAATTTATTAGAATTAAAGGGTTAGATATTGAATATGGTTAGATTAGTTTGAAGTGACAGCCTTGTGCACCAAAGTACATGTGTGTTGAAATAATGACCTGTTTTGATTATGTCCGCAACGTCAAAACTTAATGATCATCCTGATAATCAGAGCCAGAAGCATCTTGTGTACTAACAGCAGCATTTTTCGCGACTTCATCATTAAAGTGAAAGAGAACCAATATGACAAATCTATAAGTAGACATCACTGTCAGGTCAGAAATAATAGGGGCCCTCAAAAGTTTTGAATCTTCTTGGTTGCGATCATTTGATTCCCTCATCCAAGTTAAAGCTAAGCAAACTAAAGTAAGAAATGTCTTTGTCAGGTCAGAAAGAATACGGGCCTTAAAAGTTTTGAATCTTCTCGATTTGGTATCATTTTATTTCCTCATCCAAGTAAAAGCCAAGCAAACTGAAAAGTCTATAAAATAAGCCATGTCTTTGATTTTAAAAGAGGACATATTTGTCAGGTCAGAAAGAATAGGGGCCTTAAAAGTTTTGAATCTTCTCTTAACCAATGATGAGCACTAAATCATGAGTTGTAGTACAGTTTCCTCTTCCATGGGATTTCTTCGTTCAAGTAAAAGGGAACAAATATAATTATTCTATAAAGTTAGTTATGTTTCTAAATTAAAAAAATAACATTTCTTTCAGTTTAGAAAGCAAAAGGGCCCAAAGATTATAAATCTTCTCTTAACCTATGATACGCACTGAAACGTGAAATAGAGTACAGTTTCCTCTTCTTCCACGCTATTCTTCCATTCAAATTCCATTCAAATAGAAGGAAATCATTCTGACAAGCCTATAAAGTTAGCTATAAAGATGACATCTCTGTCAGTTCAAAAGGAAAAAGGGCACTAAAACTTTTGAATCTTATCCTAGTTAATGTTGAGTACTATAAGTGCTATGAGGTGGAATACAGTTTCTTTTTTTTTCGCGCGACTTCATCATTCAAGTAAAAGACAAACAATCTATAAGTCAAGTCTATAAAGTTGGCTCTGTATCTGATTTTAAAAAATGAGAGAACTATCGATTCAATTTAAAAAGAATTCCCAAAAAGTTTGAATCTTTCCGTAGTCAATGAAGTGAAGTACAATTTCCTACTCTGCTACGGAGCCACAGCCCCAATAAAAGTCGTAAGATGGTAGTTGAAGTTTGAAGTTGAAACAGCTGAGAAATTTGTTCAATTTGGACCAGGTGAATCTAATAATCTGACAAGAATCTTCATCTACATTGGCTTATAGGTTGGTGTTGAATATTGTAAAGAGTAGGTTAGACTAGGTTAGGCAACTGTTGTAGACCGTTCAATTGATCAATTCACTTGGACCCTGCGATCTATTGTAATGTAAGTATTGCTATTAACGGTTGATGAAAATTACTCTATGTTCCATTTAATATTTACATTTAAATATTACATTTAATATTCTTAGGCCGTCCTGTCCTCTCTCAAATTTAATTTAGTTGCTTTTTATGTTCTCAGAATTTTTGCTTGAAAGTTACTATAATGGTGAAAAACTCAATTAAAAATGTTCAAGAAGAAAAAAAATCTCGAAACACACTCTGGCATTTACTTGGTTTCGTATGTTGCAACAGTTGAAGTACAAAGAGCAAAATAATATTTATTTTCTTCTCTAGATTTTTAGATGTTTGTACTTTATATTAGTTATGTATGAAAAGTGGCAAACCTTGATTAGTTCTAAAAAAATTTTTAAGTAGATAAGAGTTGGATTGAACAAAATTATATGTTCTACGAGTAGTTATAATAATCATTCATATCATATTAATTTTCAACGCAACTAATGTAACTAACACTATATAGGTATATATGAACTTTATATCACTCATACGCATTAGTAACGATTTAAATGTATCTTTATATATAAATATATCTTTATTTTAGTGAATATAGTGAATACATGATAAAGTACCTGTATATTTCTTGATTGATAGACCATGTACTCCACATTACTGCACTATTCTTACTATTCCTGTTTATAACATTATTTTAGGATGTTTCTGTTAACAAGTGGCACTCAAATTAAATATCTATTTAATATACAATATATATATTCTTTATATATATCTTTTTTTTCTTTACTATATATATATATATATTGGTATATATAGTAGTAAGTATCTATTAAATATATTATACTCCAGAACAGAAAAATCTGTATTTGATATATTTCTAATAATTCTTATAAAGTGGCAGTAATCTGATTCACTGAAAACCTAAGTTTCTAATTTATACTATGCATATATTCAAGATCTACACTCTCAACTAGAATATTTCTTGCAAAGATTTAATTCTATATGATTCTCTATGCTCCTTGAAATATAGTTTAGAAATATATAAACTTATAATTATATTAGATAAGCTTCTAAAATTTGATATTTCAATTGTCAAATAAATATTCTGTATACATCTTCATCTATTCTACATAATATAAATGCTACTATTTGCGTAAAGATTGTTGTAGCACAAAATAATGTATTTACATTGCGATACTGTGCTTAATCTTCTTTACTGGAAGTCTAAATCCATTCTGTATTCAAACTATATATTCAAGACCTCAATTATTTAGTAGAGATTTAAATTTAAATACATCTCTTCGTTTAAAGATTTTTGCAGCATAAAAAACCTATTTAGGTTGCCATATTTTCCTTACACTCTTCACTGGGTGTCTTAATTTGTATTCTATTCCAAACAATTTGTTTTAGAATTCAACTATGAAATAGAATATTTCTTGCAAAGACTTATATTTATAGACTTCTGCTCTCTTAGAGGTTGTTGCAGTAAAAAAAAATTATTTATCTACTGAGACGGGAGTATTGCAAATTCCATAGGTAGTCATATTTTGACTACACTCCTTCACTGGGTGTCTAAATTTCTATTCTATTCTAAGCAATATGTTTTAGAGTTTAACTATCAAATAGAATATTTCCTGCAAAGATTTAAATTTAAAAGTTTCTGTTGTAACATATTAAAGATTATTGCAGTAAAAAAAGAATTTATTTGTCTGCTGGGAATATTACATATTCCATTACTGTAAGCCTAAATTCCTATTCTATTGTAAACTATATGTTCGAGAACTCAACTACTAAATAGAATATTTCCTGAAAGATTTAAATATTGTGTTCTTCTGCTTCCTTAAAGTTGGCTGTAGTATAAAATAATCTATTTAGGTTGCCAAATTCTGAATACATTCGTTCCACAGGTAACTAAATTCCTATTGTATTCTAAACAATATATTGCAGACTTCAAATAGAGTATTTTCTGGAAAGATTAATATTTATTCGAAAATATATGTTTAGTAGGAGTCGTTACCTTTTTCGGCGTTGGCTGTACCTATACTGATTTAAATCTATATACGTACCAATGCTATTCCTATGGTACCTTAATAGGCCATCATTTGAGCTCAAGTAGGCTCAAGTCCGCTATTCCAACCTCCAACCTACCTGTCATATAATACCTACAATGTATTATGACTACACCTATCCGTTGAGAATGAGATAAATCTTAATACCAAGTTTAGATAAAGATATATATGACTACATCTGTGAGTTAAGAATGAGATAAATCTTAATACCAAGCTTAGATAAAGATATATATACCTACATCTATCAGTTGAGAATGAGATAAATCTTAAAGCCAAGCTTAGATAAAGACATATATGACTACATCTACCAGTTGAGAATGAGATAAATCTTATTACCAAGCTTAGATAAAGGTAAAGAATCATTATATAGACATCATTACAATAAATGATATAAAAGGCATAAGCTTATATTCATTTAAATATTTAAATATTTCTTTATGTCTACAGTAAAAATGTAAGTTTTTTTTTAATCTTAATTTATTTTTTTCTTTAAATAATTTCAAAGGAATTTATTTCGCAAATTATTAATAAAAGGAAAAATGCGATAATATTTTTTTCAATGCGAATTTTTAGTATATAATTTCGAAAAAAAAAAGATTTCATATCAGTGATTTATTATTATGACGCCATTATTGACCTCTTACTAAATTAAAAACACATTATTCATATTTTATAATTAAATCTAACTTCAGAAATGAACTTTGGCTTCGACTAAACTTACAGATTTCTGCTACTTTTCATTTCCGTTTCAAAGCCAGACATATTTTAATTTTTTAGTAAAAAATTAGATTTATTTATGAATTTTTTCAGAAACCACAATGGGGAAAACTTCTATCTCTGGTAGGTTATGCCACTACATTTGGTTCCGCCGTGCCGGTAGGCTATTGCATTGGCGTCATAAACAGTCCAGCGAATGTAAGATTTTATATATTTTTATATTAAATTTATTAAAAAAATATAATTTGTTTTAGTTGATAAAAGTTTGGTGTAATGAAACTCTAATTACTCGGTATGATGCTTACTTAAGTGAGTCCGGTATTGATATATTATGGTCTTCGATCGTTTCGATATTTTTAGTGGGTGGTGCCATTGGCTCGCTAGGTGGCGCTTGGGCTGCTAATAAATTCGGCAGGTGAGTACATACATATTTTGATTTGATAATATTGTAAATATAACGCATTTAAATGATTAGCGATTATTATCAGTGAAGTATTCTTATCATTGGCATTAGTCAATGGTAATTGCAAGGTGAATTGAACGTTGTGTTTATAAAATTTATGTATAAAAATAATACGTTATAATATTTATTTTCTATGCGTTACCTTGATTTATAAAAACATGTGAACTGGGCAATTGTGACGATATTTTACTGTTCTTTTTAATATGCATATTAATCGCAAATTCAATTCAAATAGGTACGATAGGTAGGATTATACCAAATCTTTTATTAGTATCATTGCCGAACCTAGATATCGAAATGCATATTCTCTTGTTATTGTTATAACCCATTGGGATCTGGTTGTGAAGGTTCTTTGGGAGGTGTTAAACGGCATTTGATCGTCGTTGGCAACTGGGACATAGACCCGGTCGATTTTGGAACCTACACATTCTCTAAATTTTCGTTTATTTCAAGCATATTTATTTCTCGCAATTTTTGTCTATGGCTAATTTAATATTGTGGACGCTTTCTCTTACAAGACAATTTCCGTTAAAGTACCAGTCATCAATCTGCAGTGATCTCGGCACTTACTCTTAAAGGATCAAATAGGCATATTTCGATACAAGTAAATACTAGATATTTTTCTATTAAGCTATTCTTAATATTCTGATATAAAGAAAAACCTTGTATTTGCATTTTGCATACTCATAGGTATAATGGCGTTTTCAATTGGTAAATCTGGATTCAAACTAGATATACTCTCGATTTGTCAAATTTTTTTTGCCCAATCGAACAATTTTGGAAAAATATAACATTTTTATAGTACTGTTAGTAGACATTTGATTTGTCAAGTTATATAGAACAATTGCTAATTTCAGGGTAATCTTGTTACTCTATAGCAAATCAAAATATCTAGTGTTATAAAATAAATTAAATTGTTATATATTTCGCTCGAGATTTACTAATTAAAATTGAAAAGTGCACTAAGAGTAAATCTCGATGGAAAAAGTTACACCAGATTTATCAATCGAAAAGGTATAAGTAGGTGCCGATGCACTTACGTTAGTAGTACAAGTATAAAATGCTTATAAGAAGCACTTATGTGACGAATTATCGCATCAATATTTTAAGTTATTATGCTATGCCAAGTTTCCACACAGTTATATACGTATTTATGTTCGATGGTGATATTTCTGTCAAATGTATTTCTCTCCGCTACTAATTTACTATATCAATATTATATTGATAATGGTATATAACTTAAAAAAGAACCATTCAAGCACTAAGGAGAAACCAAAGCTTAGCCGAAACTCAATAACAATTTGTTATGGCCAAAATAAAAACTAAACTAAAAATATTTTTTTTAAAAATTTAAAATTTTAATAGATTAACAAATTAATATTGCAACGCCCTTGGTGCACTAATTTTCAACTATTAGATTATATTATTGTCTATTTATATTAACCATTTCTATTGGCAGATTATTACTTTAATTAACAATTTTAAAAACCTTGTGATAAGTGTATGGAAATTTACTAAAAAGTTAGTTACGACTTTACGACACTAAAAATCTCTCCGTATTGTAAAATGTTATCTTGGTACAAAAGAAATGCACTTTGCAGTTTTTATAACAATATTTATGAAACGATTAAAAATGTTTATAGTTTATTGGGTTACTTTAATAAACTAACTTTTGTTTAAATTATAAGTTAACATATAAAACTTAATAGTCCAATTTGATTTATTTAGAAAGCAGACAATAACAAAATATATATAAGTTTATTAAACATTTTATTCAAACAAAGGGATTTTATGAACCAAATAAATCATATGTTATATCAATTGTAAAAAACTTCTTTTAATTAAGAAAGATGTTTCTTAATAAAAAATTTCATTATGATATCTTATCTACAGTAATCCCCCTATAATGCTGTACCCTTATAACATGTTTTCATATGACGCGATTTATATATAACACGGGCATTCCCCTATATAAAGCGGGGACTTGTACAGTTTATACTAAGCTTCGTGTACCTTTGCATGTGTGTATAGGGGGTACACGAAATTACCCCTATAACGCGTTTTCCTATCACACCCCCGCGTTAATGTGGGGATTACTGTACATTGTTACTTATATACTTGCACAATTAAAATAGCCTTGAGTGTATACTCATGATTTCTCAAGATTTTCTATTTAAAGCAAAAGAGGTCAAATTATTACAAAATAAAATTACAGTCTAACTTCCATAACTCGAAGTACTATTTTGCAAAGAAAAGGTTCGATTAATGGAGACATCGAGTTAAAGAATTTTTTTGTGATTGTATGTAATTTGCTCTCTAAACCCTGTTGTACTCTATTTAGTTCGAGTTATAGAAAATTCGAGTTATAGAAGTTCGAGTTGTAGAAGTTTACCTGTATTTTTAAAAAAATTATCATTTAACAGGGTGTTCATTTAACAGGGTTATCCGTGTATATATTTTCTATATCTATTCAAATTTTGCATAATGCATATGTATGGTTTTTGAAATGATTTACAGTTTTAGATGTAATACTAGTTTTTATAAAAAAATCTGATAAAAAAAATGTCTGCCAGTGGTGTACTCAGGTAGGAGAGGTTGGGGATACACACCCCTTGAAAATTTAATACAATAATTTATTAAACTGCGACAACTGTGCTAAAAAATATATTTTCTAGTATATTCTCCTCCTTGGCACAGTCCTGGTAAAGCTACTGATATCTATAGCTAATATCTATATCTATTAAAAAAATAACTGTTAGCGCAAAGGAACTACTTTAAACTACTACTACTATCAATTTCAACTTAGTTGTAATATAGAACGGTAAAAATTTGTAATGCTTTATTGACTAACGGAAAGTGAGAAGATCTTGTTGTTGCAATATGTTATTGTTGTTGTTGTTGATGTTGTAACTAGGTAGGACCTGAAAGTCACAAAAAAAAAATGAATGTTTTTACAAGACGAATACATGGGTTAGAATGGGATGGGTGATGCTTGAAGGTAGGTGGAAGGGTAATAAAAAAGAAGGGTTGGATTGTGGATGAGAAAATTTTAAATACAAATTAACTCGGGTTCAGACGAAGGAACCTAGGTTGGAACATAAGTATGCTTGATTTTATAGTCCTTATTGTGAGAGGTGAGTGATATAAGTTCTTTATACACACTTGTGATTGTTAAAGGTAGACCCGTGAACCCTTGGAATATCACACAACTAAAATAATTGTTTGCATACAAATTTATACTACTACTATTCATTAATCTTTTGATTGTCTATTAGACCTGTTTTTAGTTAACCGGTTAATAAAAAATATTTCTTACCAGCCAGCGCATATTATTCTCCAAACATTTTTTATACTTACCATATACTTTTGTATATCATTCAAAGCTACATACAATTTTTTTATTATCTCTGCTTGGTTGCTAAATAGCGTAGGTTCTTGAGTCCTTCAAATAAAGGTTAATAATCGTTGATGAAATCGTAAGGAGTCAAATTATGGTGAACGATGGTATTGTTACTGTTCTTGGGCACAACCCATAAATAAGGAGTGTGTTATTGTTTTTTATTTTTAATAGAAAGGTTTCGAATAGTAGTGAATTGCAACAACAAAATTTTTTTTTATTTATTTATTAAGTGCATTTTTTATTTTTTTAGTTTTTAATTTTTAAAATAATGAACAATTAAAAATGCAAGAAAAAATACAATAACAAACAAAAACATTTGTTTATCATTTGAATTATTAAATGAAATTTTCTTTTACACAGAAAAGGCTGCTTTTTAATCAGTGGTCTACTCTTCACATTAGGTGCCTTGATGTTTTTCTTTTGCCGTTTGGCAACTTCCGTTGAAATGTTGCTATTGGGTCGTCTACTCGTAGGCTTAGCGTCAGGTCTAACCACAGCATCACTGCCAATGTATTTAACGGAAGTTGCACCACTTGCTTTGCGTGGCACATTTGGCGTCTTTTGTGCAGTTGGCGTGACAGGAGGTGTAGTGGTTGGTCAAGTTTTCAGTTTAAGTCAAGTGTTCGGAACTGAAGATCAATGGCACTATGCTTTGAGTTTTTACATAGTACTTGTAGTAATATGTTATACTCCATCGTATATTTATCCAGAGAGTCCAAAATATTTATATATTGTGAAAAAAGAGCATGAGAAAGCACGTAGAGAATTGATACGTTTACGTGGCATTGAAGCCATGGACGCAATTAAGAACGAAATTGAAGAAATGGAAGTTGAAGCTAATAACAAAGTACAAAGTAGCGGCTTTTGCGCGGTTTTACGAGATCCTGCAATGTTATTACCATTAGTTATTGTATGTTGTTTTCATGGTGGTCAACAATTGAGCGGCATAAATGCAGTAAGTAATGAATCTAATATATATGTATAGATAAATTCGCATTAACTAATAAATTTTTTTTTAGATATTTTATTATTCAGTATCAATTTTTGAAAAGGCTGGGCTCACAACTCCTCAAGCCGAATGGGCTAATCTTGGCGCTGGTTGCCTTAATTTAGCTACCTCATTTCTTGGGCCTGTACTAATGGCCAAAGTAAATCGCCGCCCGTTAATGATGTTCTCCAGTGCGATATGCTCGGGCTTCCTTTTCGCCATTGCCTTCATTTTATACTATATCGTGAGTTCAACTATATACTTTGTAATTATTTTAAAATAATTTATTTTGGTTTATCTTTAGGAAACTGCCAATTGGTTTGCAATTGCTTGCATTGTCTGCATCATGGGCTACATATTTTTCTATCAATTCGGTCTTGGTCCTATACCATACTTTATCGGTGCAGGTATGTTGATATATCATAACTTCAAACTTAAAGCGTTTAAAAAGCATGAAACATATTTACAATTTTACAATGTAATTCAATTAAGCTTCTGACTTTCTATTGCTTTCAATCTCTGCACAAATTTATTTAAAAATTCATTTCAATTAAGTTTGTTTTCATTTTTCACAACAAAAATTCACGTGATGTTGTCTGGTAATAGGTCTTGTGTTATTCAATTTGTTTTGATTTGTAATAATTTTCATTTTTTATTTCATATTTCATCGTTAATTGATTTTATGGAGTCATTGCCCTTGCAAACGCTGCCGTTATCCGATACTTCAGCGTGCGCCAAGTAAATTAAAGTCTGTTTGTTTACAACTATAAATTTGTGAATGTTGAGATATTTATATGTGCACATACATATATTCGCTTTAATATGTATTGCGGAACGATTTGTTTATTATTATTTTATAAACAAACAAACAGAAAATTAGCCTGTGCATTGCTGAAAACCACAGCTGTTAATGTTATACATTAATGATTCTACTCATTAATTGCTTAGTGGTATATTTCATAGAAACGCATTGGTCACATTTTACTCATACTAAGTATAAAGACTTTTATCATTATTGATGCGTAATCTATAGCGTCACATTATTTGCATGAAAATGAACTATTTTTAAGTCACACACATAACTTCATTTAAATCGAAAACTAAATATAATACAAGACCGTGACTAACATAGGCATTTCATTTATTATAATTTTATTAAATTATTATGTGAAGGAAATCCCTTGTTATCAAGATCTGCAAATGTGCTAATTTTCTATACAAAAAATATGAAAGATAGTTTATAGTTCAAATCCCCTCCCTTTAAAATGTTTCGGACCATTTTACAGATGGTTAGGTTAGGTTATGCTGGCAGACCGACAAGGCCATGCGTAGACCATTAAGGTCCATTGCGATACCACCTCATAATCTTATTTATAGCGCGTGTTATTAACGAATGGTATTAAGAGTTCAACAGCAGCCTCAGGCATGTGCTCCAGTCTTGTAAAAGTAACAGCCTTCAAGTATTTTTATCAAGTACTTGAGAGAGCCGGGCAGTTACACAGCAGATGTAGTACACATTTAACAGATTCAGTAATGTAATTGATTTTTAAAAGTTAGACCGATTCGATTGACCGATTGATTTTTCTCAATCAAACTTTCTCAAGTGTTATTATGTTGAGCCTTTTCAGAGTTAGTGCATCTGGTCATTTTTGCTCTTTGATAGCTGGGGGCTTTCTGCGGAGTCCCATCCATCTCACTGATTAATTTGTGTATTCCTCATAAGCTTCGAGATTATTCAATGATTGATTAAAGATCTGCGTGCCGCGTGCGGTTAGTGATTACTCTGAGATTAGATAGTGCTAAGTAGGGCAGCCTGTCTGTTTTCGCATATAGCTTCAGTGCTCTGTCCCTGTCTCAAGTGTACTTTAAATTAGTTTTCAAAAATTCCCCCATATGAAGAAGTTTCCATACTGTTATAGCTATCCAATAAAACCTATTAACTAATTCTGTTGTCATTTAGTTCTAAAAGGGTAACTAACCATATCGAATTTTTAATGAAATACAAGAATGAGGTCGTTTGATTCTCATAGTAACAGTAATTTCATATTCTATTTAATAACGTTAAAAATACGCTGAATAATAACAAAGCAGACACGTAAGAGATTTTTCGTCTTCCTCACAGCTTCGTCTTATCGCATTACCTGAAAGTAGTAAGATTAATTGAAAGAAACAATTAGTGTTCTGGAATGATTACTTAAACGACAGTGTCCCGCCAACAAATCCATTAATAGACTGATATTTCTGCGAGGCAAATCAGTAAGATCCCTAAATTTTTTTTATTTAAAAAGGGACAACTTACTACAGATGCCCGCATGTCGTTGATTATTATCATCTTTTAAGTACTTACTTACTTCGTTGGCCATTACAGACGTGAGTCGTCATGGCCGCGTCGAGTAAGCACCGAGCGCTCCCAAATCGTTGGCCACCTGGTTCTTCTACCGAAGATGCGTACGTCTTCGGTACCCGCGTTTTCCACCTGCGGGTACCGAAGCAAATACCTTTTTATCCGGAGCACTTTCTTCCATTCGCACGACATGACGAAGCCAGCGAAGCCGCTGAGTTTTTATGCGCTTAACTATGTCAATGTCCAGGTATAGCTAATACAGCTCATTGTTCCATCTAATTCGATACTCGTCGCCAATGTATAATGCACCATATTTTAATTAGAAGATTTAATTAGAAAATTTGAGAAATGTAGTTAATAGAGACGTGTAAAAACAGGTCCAAAAAAATTTCTTTGACCTTGTCCCAATGCCATTGTGAAAATATATCATGCCACATTTTTGGACAGTGTAAAAAGGGGAAGAGAAAAACAAAATTGAAGTGATACCGGTTAATAATTATTTCTTAAAATTGTTTAATAACTTTTTCTATATCTACTATATCTGTGTACCAAAGAAATTATATATTTCTATATATATTTTTTATATAAATATAAAAATATGACGTTGCTAATATAAAAAAGTGACCTAATGATAAATAGCTCCAGATTATGATTATTAAACACATAAACTGTGGTATTTAATACAGTAGTTTCGAACGGTAGTGAGCTACAACAACAAAAATTATTTTTTTATTATTTTTAATTAATTGAATTTTTGGCTGACCATACAGCTGTTTTGAGTATTGCCAAATACCCATCATCAGTGATCTTGGAAATAATTCTTGTAATCATAATTATTCAGAAATAATTTTTTGAGACTGCAAATATTTTTCTACTAAAATAATTATATATACTTAGATTCGTACTTCAATAGGCTTACTAAATCTAGAGTGCTAACTGCATACATAATACGGAAGTGGTTTGGTTTAATTCTTATATTTTCTAATAATTGGTTCGATTCGTAGTTAGGTGCAATTGAAAAAGTAGTTATTGTTTTTGTATCCTGTATAGATCTGCTTGTAAAATCCTTTTGGGGATAGTGTACGGCATTTGGTCGTCGAAATTGACGAGAGCTTTCAGGGCATAGATCCATCCGGTCGTTCTTGGAACAATACTGAAAATGCGTGGTTTATGCGGTTTAAGCTCGGTGTGAAACACTATATAAAAGTCGACAGCTAATGTTTGTGACTTACTGATAACCACTTTCTATGGAAGAAAGTGGTTCCACAATGAATTATGAAGAATATAAATTACAATACTCCATAAATGTTTTATGACACTATATTTTTAATAAAATCTGAATTGTGAAATCAATATTTTCCTTAGATACTCGTAAAATCGACAATGTCTCTGATTTACAAAGTGGAATTTATCTTGATTTCCTTACTTATCCTTTGTTTTCTTATAATAATAAATGGATAATGTCTGTTTCCTTTTTAAATTTTTTTCTTTTATTGTATAATTAATTTAAGTTCTGTATATATTATTAGATAGGATATATAAATAAATTTGTATATATTTTTATAAATCATATCCGTTTCCTATTAATTCAACACCATCTAGATATGTTTCATTAAAAAACAAATTTATTTATCATTTTGTTTATATTTCGTTTAATTATTTATTTATTTATTGGTGCATTGTGCTAAGCGGTTGTTGGTATATTTTGATATGCTTAAGAAAAGTTTCTTGTATGTTTTTTCGCTTTATATTTTTATATCTTTTTATTGAGACTAAAGCAATTATTTTTTTACAGAACTCTTTGAAGTAGCACCACGTCCTGTGGCCATGTCGATGGGTAGTTTATCTTCGTGGTCTTGCAATTTCATAATAGGTATGACATTTCCAAGCCTACAAAAAGCTTGGGGTGCCTTTGTGTTTATACCATTTTCTGTAACTTGTGCATTACTTTTCCTACTAACGAAATTCTATTTACCCGAAACCCGTGGTCGCGATCCCTCGGAAGTCGCACCGCTCGTTTCAAAAGGTTTTCGGTCAAAAGTGAGATAAAGGCTATCGTAGTTATCTTTATTAAATAAGAAATTTCTATCACAAAATTAGGCACAAATTATACTATGTACATAGGATGTCCAATTATAGTTTCGAATTTATTAAAATTTAATTAACACATAATATAATAGGTTTTTTTTTAAACTGTTCACATTTTGTTTCAGGTTGAGTAAAAGTAAAAAGTGTAATTATTTAGAAAATTTATTTAATCTTTCTTCAATGTTCGAAAGTAGCAAAAAAATTTTTTTAAGTATTAATTCTTTTATTTATTGGGATTTATTAATTTTGAAGCGTAAAATAAAGCAACTGCAAAATTTTTTGCTTATACTATATTCAGACACACCTTAATTTGGCAAAAATCTTAATTTTATCTTCGTTTCAGCGAAATTAAGTTGCCTTTTTTATACAAAATTCAGTTTTTAGGTTAGAACGAAATTAAGGAAAATGACCTTAATTTCGTTGAAACGAAGGAAAAGATAAAGTTGAGATAACGAAAAAGTGACATTTTTTTAAATAAATGTCAATGACAGTTGACTTTAATAAAATCGGAAAATATTTTGAAGTATTGCAAATTTTTAAATTTGAATTTAGAAAATGAACTATAACTGTTATTAATTAAATAGAGCGAAAAATAATAATTCACATACCTGGAATCCACTAAAGCTAATAAAACTACTGAATGTCATCTTTTATAGTTATAATAATCAATTTCTAAAATTTCCCAGCATATACTTTTAAAATTCGTTTTATAAACAAAAAAACAAAAAACATATGATTTCCTTAATTTGGGGTAGTATGAACACTTTCGAAATTAACTTAATTTCATTTTTACGGAATTAAGGAAATTTGTCTGTCTGAACATAGTATTAGTTGCGTTCGGATAGGTTGGCTGGAATAGAGTAGCTTTAATAAACGATAGTACAGTAGATGTATTGTTGTTTAATTTTTTGCATGATACCTAGAATTTTTCTATAATATTTTTTTCTAATAATAAAGTAAGAGTATTTATTTGTTGATATGTTAAAAATTTGAATAATCGTTAAATTTTTGCACAAAATCTTAACCTTTCTCCTTGATCATTTGTTTAATATCCAAATATCTTAATGGTTATCACGTTCCATTTAATTTTGCAAAATTACACTTTTATAATTTTACAAGACTAATTTTACAACTGATTGTGATTATTATAGTTTTCTTATGAGATTAACTACAAAAATAGTTTGAGTCACAACTTTTTTAATTATAATTATTTTTTATATTTACATACGTCATGGTGTATTTGCTTTTTGTGTGTATTTCGATCAAATTTTCAAATATATATACATATACATGTTGTGTTTTTAGGAGTTTAAATTTAATTATACAAATTAATAATTTTTTAAAATAATTTTTAATATTTATTTAATGTGAAATCCTTGTAATTTTTAAACTGTTTGCTTTTTAGAATTAAAAGAAAAATTGTATTGCAAATAAATCAAAACACTGACTGTATCTAAACAAAAAAATGCATTTTTAATTGTATTAGAAATTTTTATATTTGCACTTCAAAATATCAAAAAGACTGACAAATTAATATTATTTATATGTGGGAAATTTTTCAAATATAGCGCTTTAGCGCTCTTTTATTCTTGAAATATTTTAAATGAATATATCCGTATCTCCGGTATAAAATACAGTCAAACTTCCATAACTCGAACTTCCATAACTCGAATTTCTCTATAACTCGAACAAAAATTTTGTTCCGTGCGGACAGGAATATGGGAAAGTGCATTCTATAAGTCGAATTTTTGTTTTAAGTATAAATGCATTTTGCTGTTAGGGGAAGACCCTTTTTTCAAACCAAATATTTAATTGTTTTCCTTCTTATGACGATATTATTGAGCACTATAGCTCTAAATTACTGGATCCAATTATAAGCGCAACGGAAAGCGATGATGAGGGTGCATGTAATTGTTCATCAGCCTTCAAAGAATGAAGTAGAAGACTCAAAAGTCTGAATTTATATTTGCAAGCGAATGATACTACAACTGATGATCACTATAAGGCTTGGTATCTTTTTTTACCTTAATTTCCGAACCTTAATTTCTGAATGTTTTACTGCACTATAACTTCTGTGCTGTATTTGATTGCAAATAAATAAATATCTTAAAATGTAATTCTAGTTTCATAAGTCGAACCTTTTCTTTGCAAAATTGGACTTCGAGTTATGGAAGTTTGACTGTATTGTATAATTTTTCATTTTGACTGCTGTTTGCTGTTTCTCAATAGATATGTTTAAATAAACAGATCTTTAAAACTAAAATATTCAAACTAAAATTTTTTAACAGATATTGTTGAGCTATTGACATATCTATACCGATATCGATACTTTTATTCTAAGACAATTCGCCGTATTATAAGTGGCATTGTGACGACGCCAACACCTTAAAATTGGTATGGACATTATCGTTTCAGATAACCAGTGACAGCTGTCGGTAACAGATAATAATATCTGCTAAGTAAAATTTTCAACGACGTCGCTTTCAAGCGATTCAATTTTTCGGCACAGTTTTTCGTGACCACCTAAATGATAGTTTTTTTTATTTAATAAACTCAGATATGCCTATATTAAGTAAATAGTTTTTATATATTTTTTATTCGACAATAGGTCACTTTTTGAAAAAATTAAAATTCAAACGTTTGCTTAATAATTTTTAATGTGTTCTATATTTCGACTTTCCTTAAGAGTCATCATTAGGTTTAGAACTGTAATGTTTTTGGTTTTTGCACGAGACAAACATTTAAACAAGCGTTTAATTTAAAAAAAGTTGACCTGTAGTTGAATATAAAATATATAAAAAACTTTATTAACAAAACCAGGTTGAAAAACAAATTCAAACAGGTCGCGATAAAATTCAAAATTTAATTAGGTAAAAATGTATTTAGGCTAATATGGTCTTCTTCAAATGTGCTAAAAGAAACGTATTATATGTATGTTTATTTTACTTATTTTTTTCCTATGTTTTACTAGTATTTTTCAGCATTTTCAGGAATATACTCATAATACCATTGTAATAATGAAAATGGAGAAAAAATATAATATACAGCAGTTTGAAACCGTAGTTTCAGAGCTAGAGAAAAATCCAGACTTAGCTAAAGGATTTCGTAAAGACAAAATTCTGATGTCAAACCAACTTGGTAGAAAATGGGCGTAAAATTAAGTCTGTAAATATCCAGACTTTGCAAAAGTATTTGGCAAAGACAAAATTCTCACAGATGTCAAAACATCAGTGGTTCTCATGGCCCACCAATTTGAAATAATAATAGTTGGTAGGAGGTAAAAAACAATATTCTTTGCAATGCTACTGATTTAACCAAATTTATTTTATTTTAGGTCCGGTAAGATTTATAAGTAAAAAGAAAATGATAGAAAATAGAATGAAGAGAATGAATTGCAATTGGAGGAGACAGGTTAAAAGCATTTGTAACTCTCTCCATTCAAAACACTTATCATTGAAACTCTCTCCAACTATAACAATCCAATCCAACAGCTGAACCCCGAAAGCGTAATGGTTGAACTTGAAACTGTGCTACAGGAACCAGAATGTACGGTAGGAGAAGAAATACGCGAAGTCGAAAATATGTGGAGAATTCAACAGAAACAGAAATGAACGACAGTACTTACTAGAAAAGCAAAACAGTCAACAAGAAATAGATTTAAATAAGATGTCACAATGATGTCTGTCAAAAATACTTTAGAAGATTCTAGGCTTCAGGAAAAATTAGCAGGGATTCAAGAAAAATAATTAAAACTATTGGCAGAATGAAACCAAAGAGAGTAGAAGAAGTTATTCCAAATTGAAATGAAATCTTATTTCTGGAATAAGAAATAAGCTGGAAATAAAAGAAAAAGAAAAACAGTTTTTGTACAGATACCTAAATAAAGAATTTCAATATATTAATGATTATTATTATTTTATTTCATTTACAAATTTACATTTTATTACGATATGAATGATGTACTTGAATTAAAGAAAACTAATATTTATTAGCTTTACATTTTTATCAAATTGAATGTAAATATTGTGACCTGCTGGGGTAATCGGTAATTTTGTAATGAGGTTCAAGTCTCACACTGTGGCTTTTGATGCGTTCCACCTATTGTAAAAATAGAAAGAAAATATTTGTAATGAAGCTGAGCAGTGAGTATTATAAAGTGTAGATAGATTTTTTAATACTCCCTCCAATAGTTCGTTTCATTATATTTCTCACTTTAACGTAATTATTATTAAAAATAATGTTGGTACTGCTCCTTTCAGGAGAAGAGTATTGCATCATTATTTGTGGTTTAAAAGGATAATATGAATTAACTGCATGCAAAGTATATTTCATTATATGATTTTAAATATAATGTTTCGAAAAGTATTTTGTTCGCCAGTATTTTACTATTTATCTCATATCACATAACTTATAATCCTAATTAATGAGTCACAAGCTGAACCCATATGTCGATTATCTAAAAATCATATAAGGATTTTATAATCGCAATTCTATAAAAAACTAAATCAGAGCATTTAAGTTAAAAAACTCTTTTCTACAATCAGTAAATATATTAGGTTTCCTTCTCTGAAGCCAATATCTTAAGACTTACCCATCTACACATCCAATTATATTTGGAACTCTTATTTTCTTAAAATAAAAAAATAACTTCGGTTCCTCATAACAACTTCTTAAACTTAAGGTTAAGCGTTTTAGTCAGAATTGCACGGAAGCTTACTTGTACCAATCTGAGATGAAAGTCAGTTCTAATACCTGATACGATTATTGGCCAAAAAAATGATGTAATTAACTTAATTCTAACCAACAAACAAAGAAGATGAAAACTATACCGCCAGCTGGAAAGGCCATGAGTAGTGTATTTTTAAGATGATAAGGACATTGAAGAGTGTCGTACAGTAATTGGAATATACTATGTAATATATGCAACATAATTATAAAAACTGTTCCTCTTTGTGAAGTAAAAAGATTTTTTTTCCCCAAGACCATATACCAGTTAAGCTTTCACAGTCGTTATAGCTAAAATTTATTTACTGTATTTTGAATTAATTGATTATTATCCCCCTTATGTAGTAGAACTGAGGTTCTATGACTTTTTTCGGTTCAAAATTGAAAA